ATGACACAGCAACTCTAAACACTACAGGATAGGGACGAGCAGATTTTCAGTGTAACATCATGACATTTACACATGTGCTCTTCTTTTTAGACCCAGAAGCTGTTTGTTGTCTGACTCGATATATTTGAAGGTAAGAGTCGGGGATACTATTATTCAACACTAAGGCTCAGCAATTCTTTTGTTCTGTCCTTGAACATGATACTGAATCCCCAGCAGCTACAGTACTGGACCAGTGGGGATTCAATGTCCTGTGGTTCAATAACATAACCAGCAAAAAAAAGGAAAGCTTGTGGAGCTCTTGCCTTCACAATAAAACCAAAAATATTATGTTTTTGTATCACACTGTATCAATTTAATTGTAGTTTATAGAAAGTAAACATAGCACTTTAGCATGCAAGTGATAAAAATAGGTTTTGTTCATATTTACTGTATTGTACGATTACTTACGGTTATTTCCTGCATTGAACAGATCACTAAAGTCAGAATTTATCCTAATGAATATGAAAATTGTTTCGTCTAACTATAAATGTTTTCTAACTCAACAGGTACATCTTATCTGGGGTGAAATGGAGTGTAGGGTAAGTAAAGATTAACCCTGTAAAGTTAGTAATGTCAGGGTCTAATTGGTTGTCTCTTATATGATCCTATTTGAGACCACTTGGTTTATACCTGGAAACTGCATGCTCAGTTATTGTTTTATTTAAAAAATAATAACATTACTATAATTGGATGGATTTTTAATGGTAAGATTTTATCCTAGGAACCCTTTAAGAATATAGCTCACATATTCTCTCTTTCAACATGCACAAAGTTGTCCTCGATCATGACAAGGAAACATACAGAGGGAACCTGCTTCTCATCATATGAAAGGTGGTGGTCTTTTTTTTAATGCAACCTCATCAGGACACACTCTTTCTTGGATTTATACTATATATGTCATTTGATACTCACAATGTGACATGGGAGTGTGCCCTCAGTTAAACTTTGAACACTTTTAACACCTCACAGTGGGTGTGAGGCTCTGCATGAAACGTAATATATATTATACAGCGCTTAAGGGACATCTGTTAGACTCACTGTTTATAAGTATCCCTGATTTGTGTTGTCATAATTGTTGCTATCATGGCCCATGACCTCATTTGTTATGATAAAGTCCTGCTGTCAAGTTGTTATGGTCAGAAGTATCTGCCATCATGAGATTTTAGATTCTGCTCTTCACTTGTCTCCTGCTGTTTGCATTTTGGGCAGTGGGACCCCAGAGCGAAACTATTCCTGTTGTCACTTTCTGGTGGGCTCTGATGTTCCTCTTATATATATACTAAAAGCAGTTGTGTTGTTCAGTTTTCCTCTTTTTTTTAAAGTACAGCATCATGAAAACACAAAGGAGAAATGTCAGGATCAAGTAAAACTGTGATTACTAGAACAGCTCTTGAAGCAACATAAATTAAAATTCTGATTAAACAATGACTCGGTTTTAAGCTGCTTGCAGACATATTACACATGGGATTTTAATATTTTGGTTTTATTTTGAAGGCGAAGTAAGTGAACGGAAATAAGTCGTCCAGAACTCTGCTTGATGCACTTAAACGACAAACAATATTCCTCTTACAGCTTTGTATCATAAAACAGATTAGGTATCTATGAGCCCACTCACACTCATACATCGTTTAGGATACATGTGTAAATAGTTTCATCCCCCTTAGACAACAACACGATAAAATCCCCTTAGTGGAATAACATGCGCATTGCGCACTTCATGGTCCTTGAAATAGTCGCAGCTCTGTATAGTAAGTCAACAAAAGTCTTTTTAGAATAAAACATTTTTACATTTTTAGAAAGCTTATCAGGAGAATAAGTCAGGTGATATTTTTAAAAATATATCTTCTGATGTCAAAAGTTTAGTAGAGAGAAATGACTCTGATCCATAATGAGAAAAGTTCATCCTACCTCTGATCGAAAATGATGGGTTCGGAGGCCAACTACAGGAAAAACAACACATGTTAGAATGACAATGAGAACCTACGTGAGGAATGACACTACACATATCAACTACAGACGTTTATTGATTTGATAATAAAATCACAATTTTGAGGCTAAAAACTATAAATATCCTGTTCGAGCGTCTTCACACTTCTTCACACTGACGCCTACATGAGTGTTGGATTCCTCTCTCAGCGTACACTGCAGACATAGCTGGGCTAAAATGACTTCATGCTCACTACAACATACTAACAGACTATATGACAATACACAGGACACATAGGGCACACACAGAGATGAGGTGTCATGATGAGGAGATGCGGCTGGCCTGCGCTTACTCACCGCGGCTCCTGCGTCCAGAGAGCACAGATTTTATTGGATGTTTTCCATTATGGAGCCTCCGATGCCAGCAGCAGAAAAACAAAATCGTGGCTATAGTCCCGAGCAAAAGCAACAATAAAAGCAGCGCACATTGAATGCTGTACGGCCGTAATAAGACCAAAAACGCCGCAGCAATCATCCTAAAAGGCGAGATGTGGGGCAGATCCCGCAGCCTCTCTCAGACAGCCTCACCGCTCCTCTGCTGCCGATGTGTCGCTGAAAGCTTCAAGATGAGAGGAAAGACACTGACGGACACGAGTGAAGCATCGCACAGCCACCCGTGGGGAGAGAAAAAAGACGGCCCAGACTATTGATGCCATTATAGTGAGGTACACAATGCATGACTCAGCACAGACGCCAAGTTGTATTTATTTATATATTTATTTCCTAACAGGGGCAGGCAGAGTCAGCAGATTCATCTGAGCATCGCAGTAATCTGCAGCAGAGCCTGCTGCCCCAAAGGATAATGCACTACCACTAATAACAATAGTATGAGGACTGATAGGAGACGAACAAGTGAATTCTTCTGTGCAGAAAACAAACTGTTGTAAAGACAGACCCTAAAATGAGTCACATACACAGCACAGATACTTTCAGAATCAAGGGGAGAGAAAAAAAAAGGATCCAACTCCAATCATAATCCACCCTGGGTTATGTAATTTTTGGATGAACTCATGTCATGTAATGCATTCTTTCTCCAGCTGGATGAAAAAGTCAGACAAGCCAAGAGTGAGACAAATAAAGTGGTTTTTTTTTTTTTTTAATTTGCAGTTTTGAACCCCTAACGGAACCCCAGACAGTGACTAAAGTGTGTTGGAATGCATGCACATAAAAACACATTTAATCATCAGAATAGATCGATGCAAACATACAGACAAAGTACAAAAATGTCTAATACTAAGCATGTTGAAAGGTTAGTCTTATATGTGAGGCAATATAAGAGAATATTGGACAATTTTGTCAATACTTGGGCTGCATGATATTAGGAAAACTCACATTGCAACATCTTTTCTCTCTCTGATATTCATTGCATTATAAAACATACATAAAATAAAACTACAGACAGTAAATATGGTGTGTTTTTATGTACAGATATTCAATTAAAAACTAACATTTACCCTTTATAATCTGTGACTTTCAGTCTAGTGTCCTAACATTTGCTTCAGCCCTTCACCAGCTAACTTGTCATCAGGCCTGCTTCACATCAAAAAGCACTTTTTTCATCACTAAACTTTTAATAATTAATCTGAGGTCAGCTGACTGAATACATTTGCTAAATGCCTTCTTCTTTGCAATGAATGCAGATTAAGTCCATTCGTGAGTATCTTTGATTCATACAGGAGATTAGAAGTATAGTTTCAACAAGTACATTCAAGTACATTCAACCTAACCAGAGAGAACTGGAAGTGAGCTGAACATCCCTTAACATTAATATTTTATTCACGGTGTACAGTTACAATCTAAGCATGCTGTCCATATGCACATGCAAACATGATCAAAACATTTGTGCACGTAAAGACGTCATTCCTGTGAGGTCAACCAACCCCTGTGGCATAGAAGATGTTAGACACAGTGTGATATAACAAATACAGTAATTTGTGATTACTAAACTATGAAAAACCAGGGTCAATATTAGCAGCATATCTCAGATCTCAAGACGAGTTACTGTGGGTTCAGGTGCAAAAAAGTGAATGACAATGCTAAATGAAACAATACATACAATTAAGATGATGCGCAGACTCACGCAATGCAGATGTGTGCATGTGTTTTTATTTTGAAAACAGAATTTTTTTAAGGGTTTGGATAGAAAAGAGTAATATAATTAAAATAAGTTAAATATACTTAATATAAGCATACAATATGTATAAAATGCTGGTTTTAAGATCAGATTACGTGAATTTTAACTTTTACAGCCCTTATATAGGTTAAATGTTCTAAATATAAGGTAAGGGGAAAATGCTGGTTTTAAGATGAGCGAACTTAAAAAGTCACTTTTTTACAGCCTCAAAATAATTGATTTATACTAAATATAGGCAATTACATATTTTGTTTTCTTACTTTGAGCAAATTAACCTGAAGATTAGTTAAAAATACCCAGTATTAGTGAAGAATGACTAAACTCTATCTCAATCCAAGCAGGCTAATCTTGAAACAAGGCCCACTTAATCTTAAAACGAGATTCCTTTTGATGAGACTGTATCTAATTTTAACAGTTTTTTTTTCTCATTTTAAGATTTCCTGCCTGTTTGAGACAAAACAAGATAAGGTAGTACTTAATATAAGATCTAAGTGTAAAGTTAAACACTTAAAATAAGAAAATACACCTTAAAACAAGAGAAATTATCGAACAGTTGTACATTTTTTGTCTTGGTAAGAACCAAATAATTTGCAGTGAATGTATGCAGGCATTAATTTTAAAATATGTTAAATGGACATGGCACTGGACACATTTTTTTCTAAGTGTTTGATATCTCTATTTACTCAATATATGAGGATAACTCAATATTTGTAATAAAATAGATTTTATATGTTTGTACTGACAACTCCTTTCTATTACAGTCCGGAGAAACTGCACAGACGGGCGGGGTCTGTTCCATTCCAAACAAACCTAACCCCGTCCATGCGGCACACACTGCGTCAAAAAAAGAGCGCTTCAGTTACGTTGACGTAATGTTTGCTGCTGTGATTTACTTTAGACCCGCTGCTCGCTTACACTTCGTCAAATGAGGCACCTGGGGAGAAAGCAGAGGTAATAAAAACGTCTGCTTCGTTATTCCTCTGTTGAACATGTTTTAAAGTCCTGGTTGTTGGTGTTTTACTTACATTAGTCAAACGCAGTAGAGCCGTTCACATCGCCAACCGTTGGAGAGCTAACGTTAGCCTATCCGTCCTCGACTGCTGACAGACTGGAAGCACACACGTCAACGTTTTAGTGATAAAATGGACATGTTTTAAGAGTAGTTATTTCTAAGCGACCAGTTTGGGCCCTAACGTCTGTAAATCGTTAATGTCAACGGTTGCAAATCTGCTATTTGTGCCTTTAAACACTTATTACAGCGTGCATTCACGGTAGAGCCGGAACAGGTGTTGTGCCGTAGAATGCAACCCTGCCGTAGAATCGTCCCCTGCTTCCCATCCACTCATTAGCTTCTTAAAGTGGAAGAAAGTTATCTCACAATTTAAAAAATAACACAAGTATTGGATCATCACGACATGTCAAATGGAGGAATGAACTTTCATTCTGTTTTTATGTCACTCAAAAATGCACATAAAGAGGTGTACTTCGATGTATAAACGGTACAGTGAACTGTTAAGGTAGAGACAAACGTGCTCCCGTCAGGGGGTACATTCTACAGGGGTGCATTCTACGGCACAACACCTGAAAATCGGAAAAGTAAGTTTACGATTGCGTGGGCTTAGTTTATGAGTTACTGTGGTTAATTCTGAGAATAACAACATATATAATATCTTGTTTATTCTTTCTATGATGTTATCACATTACGACTTGAGGGTTGTGAACGCACAGATATCAGTAAAAGTCGGACGAAGCTGAAAACTCTGAGCCGTAATGGGACACGTAAATGCGTATTTGAATTTGCCGCGGGAGATCTTCTTCGCTCGGTAAGAAACAACTAATCAGTAGCTCGGTGCTCACCACTGCCACTCGCGGCCAGGAGGTTTATCGCAACAACAGTGTGATTCAAGAAGTCGCAATTTAGCTTCCACCCACCAGCGGCAGTACCAACAGAAATTCTCCATCTGGTGAGCGAGGAAGTAGTTTTGTACAAACGCTGACCTGACTTGTACGGTAGAGTTTGATGAAACAAGATATTGGGAAAGAGTGAGTTGAATTATTTTGCTTAACAACAGCCCTAAGTTAAAGCAAGAACTGTGCTTAAAGTTGTTTCTCCCATACGGTGTGTTGACATTCGCATTCGTAGGAACCTTTTTTTCATGAATGCTAATAGCAGCTACTTGCTTCAATCATGACAGAGTTACGTTAGCAAGTTGACCAAACGTGAAACGATGTTTGCACTTTTGCATTTGTGTTGGTGATCGGGTGAAGCATCATTGACCTGTCAGTGAGTGTATACAATACAGAGAAGTCAGGGTGTACTGTATCTGATCTGGAGTCAGCTTTCCTGATTCCTGAGTTTAAGTTGAAGCAACGTTGAGCTTTATCCCCTCTACTTATAACATGAAAGATTGATTGAATTACACAAATCAATCCCATCCCCATCTCCTGGAATGATTGATGCCTATGTCTGTATTACTTTTCCCTGTGTTGTTTTGTAGATCAGAATCAGGGCTGCAGTTTTGAGAGTTAAAATGCGCTCCTCTGGCAGCAGGCTCCTAGTCATTCCTGAAGTCAGGACACACACTCATGGCGAGGCGTCTTTTCAATATTACGGCCCTCATCTATGGAACAGCCTGCCAGAGGACCTCAGGGCCGCAGAGAACTAGATGTTTTGAAGAGCAGGCTCAAGACCCACCTTTTTAACTTTTAATTGATATTTATTTGTTTTATGTTCATTTATTCTAGTTAGCCTAGGTTTATTTTAGGTCTGTGTTTTATTCATATTTTAGTTTTTACTTGTTTTTATCCTTTTATCATCTTAAGGATCCCCAGTGTTTCCTCTGAGGGAGCCCTCGGCACCGGGAGCAGTGGTCGCTTGTGGTTGCAGGGGCTGGCCACGGGGTTCCTGGCGGAGGTTGCTGTCTGACACATCCCTCCGCTGGCCCAGTGTCGGTGTCCTGTGGCTGCGGGCGGCTCTCTGCTCCCAGTGCTTTTTGTCATTTTTTGTTTTTGTTTTAGTTTTTAACAAGACTGTAAAGCACTTTGAGTCACATTTCTGTAGGAAAAGCGCTATATAAATAAAGTTTGATTGATTGATTGATTGAAAATGATTTTTTTCTGCCCTCAGATAAATGTCATCTCCAGCTCAAGCAGACGAAGATGAGGTGGAAGAAGTGGAGTTTGTCTCAGTAAGTCATGTGTTCATTACTTCTAAGCAGAGGTCAAAAAACCTCTGTCTGTTGACATTGATTGAACTATTGGTCGAAATGTCTAGTATGGAAATCTGCCTCTTTCCTTTAGTTCATAAACATTTAGTACCTTTTTACAAACATTCAACCCTCTTGAACTTTTCCAGATTTTACATTTTTACAGCTTGGAAGAAACTTACAACCACAACACCAAGATCTTACTGAGCACATTGTTCTGACACTTTTCTGTCAGAATCAGGACCTTCAGATTTTGGACCTGTATAATTTTGGCCTCTAGCACATGAAGTTGGTGTTGAAATGACCACTCGCTGTGTAACATATCCCAAACGCTGACAGGTGCCACTGTAAAGTAATGGTATTCGGTTAACTTGCAAGTTGTCATTATATTATGGCAGATGGGTGTATTTACTTGGGCTTTTTACTGTTAAACCAAGCATTTAATTTTTTAACTTTATTTTAAATATCTTCTCCCTGGCTTGAATATTATTGGCTCATTTTTGTTGGTACATGAACTACAGTGAATTAATTCTAGTTCGCTGACAACATATGAATGGATTAAGAGGTGTGATTACCTCTGTAAGGCACTATGTAAAGAATGAATGAGTCAGTAATTCAGATCTAGTTCTATAACTCTATAACATTGACTGGCATGGTGTCTTGTTCCTGTCTTAGGAGGCCCCTCTTAGACCAGTTTTGGAATGTATTGATCTACTGAGTGAGAGTGAAGACGAGGGGTGTTCATCAATGGCAGATACTGTAAGTGGTTTCACCTTAACCGTTTTTCTTTTTAGTAAAACTGATGTGAATACCTGCACAGAAGGTTCTGTAAGTGCTGTGTCTTATTTTCCTGTAGATCGAAGATGAAGTCGCCTGCCAAAAGAGGCGTGTGACATCCACTCTGGAGAGACTGGCACAGCAAGTGGCTCAAGACAAGCAAGAAAAAGCAAATAAATGCAGAGCATTCAAGGTAAAATGACATTAACATCAGAACATTGTCGTTGTTTTTTACTTCATCTTTCATTCAGAAAGAAATGCATAACTCATTATTGCACTTAAGGATAATCATAACAAAGATAATTGTACTTTTTTGTGTAATCTGGTATATCACAAAGGCCAAGGAAACAGGATAGTACTTGATGTATCCTGTGGGCTCTAGCTTGCATAAAAACAATCTAATATCCTTTAACCCATTAAGACCTGAACCCTGTCTGAGCCACGCCTCTGAAATCCTGAGGGCAATTTTGAGAAGGGCCCCTAGATCCTGAGGTTTCCTGAAGTGTTGAGGTCTACAAAAAAGCTGATATCTTGGCCTCTGTAGCAGCTAGAAACAAAATTTAAATTTTTCAGAACCTTCATGACATTTTTGAAAACCTTTAAACAAACAAACTCAAATGAAATAAAGCGGCTGTATAAATGAAAGTAAAGGCTCTGCACTGGAACATAACAGACATTTTGCTTTCTGTAAAACAAGTGGCAGTCATGATAAAGTGTCCTTTCAATGCAAATGTAAATATAAAAAATAAAGAGTTAATAGGGTTTACAGCTGCCCTGGTATGGTGCCAGTACAAAAGCAGCACTAAAAGATAAAAAAATCAATACGTGGCTGACAGTTAGCGACGGGCGCTCTGAAACCGACACTCCGGCGCACGTTTCAAACCCGGAAATAAAATTGCCTCGAAACACTGTTCCGACGCTCCGGTCAGTCTGGAAAAAACCACGTGACCTATGACGTCCGAAGCAGGAACTGTTTCATTCTCTGAATGAATGCTAATAAACCCCGTGACTGTCTCGAAGCCACGCCCTCTGGTTCGATCCAAGGAATGAACCACATGACTGGCCCTGTGCCAACCAAGTGCCAGTTTGCCGATCTCTCGATTCTGACAGGTTGAAACATTTTCAATTTTTGCGCCTTGACAGCTTTTTAACGGTTTCAAACAGTGAACAAAATGTGGGTTTGCAGTAGAGGCGTTTGCATAGTTGTTGAGTTGATTTATCAGTAAATTGCGTTTTTGCGTGTTTTGATCATCATCATCATGGACATGGAGCCAGCCAGGAAGAGGGGCCGTTCTGAAATGTGGCAATACTTTGATCTCATTGCCCATGATAAGGTGGGTATGTTATTAAAGGAGGAGCCATTTGTTTGATTATGTGCGCTTACTGCGCTAATCCCCTATAAGAGGTTTCACAGCACATGAACTATTTATTTGGCTTGCTGTGTATATAAGCAACCAGACTTTATCATTTAAAGCTGTTTGTTCTAAGAGAAGAAAGCATATTAGCTGTGGACTACAACTCATCATTATTATTATTATTATTATTATTATTGTTATCATTATTGTTGTTGTTGTTATTATCAACATTATTATTATTATTATTAGGGAGAAAAAGACATTCTGTATTATATGTGTGCTCTGAAACTCACCTACATTTATTATTACTTGCAAATATTATACTATTAAATACGGTATGTAGCCTAAGCAAAACAGTTACATGAACAGCCACTAAATATGTGCACTAAATATGGTTTATTAAGTCTCATGTTTACGTATCATTACAGTTATATATGTGATTAGTGTAGCCTATGTGTAATTAACATGTTACATAGAGTGAATTTTGTTTTAGTTTTTATCTAATGTTTTTCTCTTCAGGTTCAGAGCTTGTGTTCTTCTGAGCTGAAGTTTCATAACAATACTTCTTCCATGAAGAGGCATTTCACTGCCAAACATTCCGGGCAAGGAACTTCTGCAGCTGCTTCAGCTACTTCTGGTGTTACCCAGAAGAACACAGGAGCAGGAGCAGGAGCAGGTAGAGGTAGGCTATATTATTGATGAAACAGTAACACACTACAATAACATATTTTAATATATATGACTATATTCTATGACATAATGCTTCATCTTCCCAAAATTTCAAATAAATCCTTATTTTATGTATTGTAATGTATTTATTTCTCTGTTTCTCTCTAGTTGGCCGGCAGCAACAGTTGGATGATGCTCTGATGGAGATGGTAGTGAAAGACTCTCAGCCGTTTTCTATTGTGGAGGACCGTGGTTTCAAGGACTTTGTGGCACTTCTTGATCCCACATACATTCTGCCACCAGGGAGAGATCTGGAGAAGATGGTGGTGTGCCGTTATAAGGAGGAGAAAGAAAAAGCCAAGGCTGTCATGGAGAGTGTGGAGGCTGTTAGCCTGACAGGCGACATGTGGACCTCCGTGAACATGGATGCTTATCTGGCAGTGACGGCCCATTATGTGGATGCCTCTGACAAGCTGGCCACAGTGGTTTTGGGGGTGCTGCCGTTCCCAGAAGCACACACTGCTGATGATATAGCCACTTCAACGAGGTGTCTCATGATTGAGTGGGGCATTGAAAACAAAGTGTCAAGCTTTGTGACAGATGCAGGAGAAAATATGATTGCCAGTGTCAGAAAATTGGGCCTCAGGTCTATTCCTTGCTATGCTCACGCACTTAATTTAGTGGTGAAGGAGTCCATTGAGAACACTCCTGGACTGGAAGACCTTCGCACAAGGTCTTGTAAAGTGGTGACCTACTTTAAAACCAGCGCTAGAGCCAAAGAGATGTTGCAACAGGTGCAGAAATCTGCAGGGCGCGAACCCATGAAGCTCATTCAGGAGACGGACACTCGCTGGAACAGCACCTACGACATGTTCCAGCGTTTGTACGAGGAGAGGCAGACTGTGGGGTCAGCTCTTGCCGTGCTCACCACAGATGTACGACCACTGGCCTCTGAAGATTATGAGACCATGGCTGCCTGCATAGCAATGCTTAACCCATTTAAGAAGGCAACAAATGAACTGTCCGAGGAAAAGAGAGTTTCAGGGTCAGTGGCGATCCCAATGACCAAAATGCTAGTTCATAGTATAATAGATCTAACAGGAAAAACAAGCCATGGCACGGCAAAAGTACTGGGGCAGAACTTGATACAACAGATGACATCAAGATTTGATGGCCAGGAGGATTCGACAGCTTGTTACCTTGCTACACTCCTGGATCCCAGATTTAAAATGATTGGGTTCCACAATCAAGATCGTGCTCATGCTGCAATGAGACGACTGGTATCAGAATGTGCATCTGTAATGAGAACCTCACAACAACCATCTACATCAACTCAGCCGGAACCAGCTCAACCTGCAATACCTCCAGCAGATGATGAAACTCCAGCAGCATCCACAGGTAATATTATAAAGATTATAAATACCAAGTGGGATTATAGATCATCTTAAAGTCAGTGATAAACCTTCAATATGTCACAGATGGACCGGGAGGCAGGCTTGCAGGTGAAATACAAGTGTTTATTTTGATCCAGACTGATTACTGTGATGTTTGTCTTTTTGAAGGGAGCCTTTGGGAGCTGCTGGACAGAGATGCAAATGAAGCCAGGAGGTCGAGGAGCACAACAGCTGATGCGAATGTAGAGGTCCAGCGCTACATGTCTGATCCACCACTGGAAAGAACCAAAGACCCCCTGGTTTACTGGACAGAGAAAAAAAATGTTTACCCACATCTGTATGTGCTAGCCAAAAGATTTTTGTGCACACAGGCGACATCTGTGCCATGTGAGCGCATATTCTCAAAATGTGGAGACATTGTTAGTAAAAAAAGAAACAGTCTAAATCCAAAGACTGTGGAAAAAATAATTTTCTTGAATAAAAATCTTTGAAATGCACATACTCTACCTGTGCCATAGTTTTTGTTTAGTGTGTGAATATATGAGTCATGGTTTCTTAGCGTAACATTGTTTCACACTTTGGTTTATTTAAGACTTCAGGACAAAATAATGGAATGACATTCACAATATTTCTTAGCGTAACATTAAACAAGGTATGAGTCATTTGCTTGATTTTTTTATTTACTCATGAGCTGCCATAATAACACAATACACAAAAACATCTTTATTAGTATAGAGAACTAGATATCCAGTCATTTTTTCATGTATGTGTGTATACATACTATTGTTTTACTGTCTAAAAGCCTCCATAGTATTTGAATGCAGTTATAGCTTTTTCGCCACCAAATGTAATTATCACTGAAGCTTTGAAACTTCAAACCATTTTGAACTATTGCTTCAAGTGGTTCAGTGGTTCATAAAGGCTTCATTTGCCAATCACTACCATTTGACAACAAACACTTCTATTAAATTATAATTGTGGAACGATTTTTACAGTACCTTACGATTTCATAATCGCAGCCGTTTAATATTGTATGTCGCGATTAAATCGTATATCGGCACATCCCTAGGTCCGTAAGATCCCAAAGCATCCCCCATCATTGTTAACCCGGCTTCTTAGCTCTTGTCCGGTCTACCTCCGTTTAAAGCGCCTGTTATTCCGCCAAAGTTTCCGGTATTTTGTTCGTTTTTCTTGCTTGTGTTGGCGGTCGTGGCCAAAGGAGGATTTAGACAATTTTCCGTACTTTCTGGTCGGTTTCTACTGTCCGATATTGTAGCACACTAATTTTGTTTGGGCTCCTGAACGACTCGGGGGAGCAGCGTCCGCCTCACAACCAATCAGGATGGGGGAGGCGGGGAATGGCTTTGTTTACAGTCACAAAGAGCGGAGAGCTCTGAAATTTAAAAATGTTGACTACACAGACATAACAAAACACAGCGATATCGTTATATTACCAAATGTCATCAATAACTAATAGCTATTGACTGATATTAAAAGCTTTTTTGTATAAACAGCATAAAAAAAAAGATGCTTCTTTAATGGATTCCTGCCTACCCCACCTTTTAAGAAAGATGAAGCAGTGGCACAACATTTAGTTTTTTTCCTTGACTTTATGTAGAATCAACAATGTGCCTTTTTTTCCAACATTGTGACACATAAAGCCAAGAGACTGCTTTGGCATTTGTCACTTGTCAGCCAAAGCATGTGTGTAAAAGCATCCTGGTTGATAGAACCATGTGACTGATGACTAACCAAAACTGACATTTAACTCGCTGATCGCTCAGGATGGCATACCCCACAACAAAACAAGTTCCTGCCTTGATTTGAATCACATTTTCTCCCACCATTTTTTACTCTGCTAATCCAGTACAGAGCCCCGCAGGAGCCTGCATTAGTCAGCAGAAATACCCTTTTTAAATCCTATTCCATCTCTTAACACAAGGAAGGGTGTATAAACTGTAATGCAGTCTGTCAAGTAAGATTAGATCGTTTAGCTTCACAGTTGATAAAGTCGATTTTAATTTACAGCCTGTGGTTTGTATCCTTGGCAGCTGTAAGCAAATTCAAATGGGAAGCTTCAGTGCAGACAAAACCTCATTATGACTCTGTATACACCTGCTGTTTGGTGCTGTTTTATGGTATTTGTAATAAGTAGAATGAACATTATTTGTGAATTGTATGAATTAATAGCAGGTCTACTCAGTTACCTTTAAAGACAGGCCAGAACCTGAAGTGCCTGGGATCCAGACCTTTGCATTTTCCCGTTAGACCTGCAAATCCAGGATTTAAATGTGTATACAGTACGCTAATCTATTTCAGGGAGAAGTAAGTTGTTTAAGTGAAATCAACTTTGCATGTATACCCATTCAACTCCTATTTAAATGCTCTAAAACTGTTCTTTAAAAGCCTGGGGTAAAAGTTTGTAAAAAAAAAAAGTGCTCAACAACAGACATCACTTATTCTTGGACTGAAAAATGCTTGTTTATTTACAGTTTTAAATGAACGCTTAAAGGGCAAAATTGAGGTCTTTAAATGACTATATTTAGCCCACAGCCTGCAAAATGAAAAGGTGTGCTGCAGTATGTGGGGTTAAGTGAAGCCTTTTGTAGCAGCAACAGTGCCACCGTGTGGGCAGAAATTAAATCAAACAAAGTAAACAGATTATTAGTCGATATCCTTCAAACATCAGGATTCTGTATGTCCCTAAGAGAATAATAATGAGCAATACTTCGACTGAATCAGTAAGAGAATAACTGTAAAATGGTGACAGGATATTTTAGACTCTGATATCATGTTTTTTGTTTATTTTTATAGGAGAAGCAAAAACATCAGAGAGCTCAGGAACAAGAGGGGCTGAGTTTTAGTCCTACAAATGGAGTCAACTGGGAGGCAAAGCGCTGTGTGGACATGTGGCTAAAGATGCCAGGTAAAGGTTTAAATTGCTGCCTGACTGTCAGTGTTGTCATATTTTAAACATGATCTGAACACTTCACACTTAGGATTAAAATGTTTGGTTAAGCAGGCTAAGAAATACAAAAACATGACAATCTCTGATAGCATCCCTTTACATGTGTTTGAGGGACACAGATGATTCTTGAACCTATTATACTTTACCTTTTATGTGTTTTTAAAGGTACTAAACCTGGAGTGGTCACAACCGGCTTTGGAAAAAGACACAGAGGTGCTCCTGTCCCCAGACAGAGTGCAGCAAGCCACACCTGTCCAGTGATTAACTGTGGTCGAGTTTATGATAACACCCCCCTCCTTGGAGGGCACCTGAAAAGGTGATTCATCTCTGTTTTGTATTTTTCACGTGAAAGTATTTTCTTCAAGACGGTCGTGTCATATTCACTAAAGAAATATCTTTTGTGTAGATTTGACCACTCCCCCTGTGACCCGACCATCAGGCTCAAAGGGAATCAGTCGGAGTTCTTTGCCTGTGTTGCTTGTGGTCAAAACTTTCAGACTAAAGAAGCATGGAAGAAACACCTGGAGTCAAAGGTTTTTCATTCTTCTGTACCCGATTAAATCATGCACCAGTTACCCTCTGAAACTTGAATCATAATGGGTTTTTATTGTAATTTTTGTTCCTAGTTGTCCTCATCTACCCCTGGCGGTCACAGCATCAATCAAACCTATCAGCGGATCGTGTGTTTTGCCTGTCCTTCCTGCTACCTCCTGTTCAGCCTCCGGGATGAGTGCCTTCAGCACATGGCATCCAAAAACCACTTCACAGAGTCACTCGCCATGAGTGGTAAGGTTTCATTAACATTCTGATTTGACATGGTTTTGAAGCACCTGTGCAATCATTAAATGGTTGTTCTCTGGTTTTTATTTAAGGATTATTTTTTTTAGTTATACCTGCATGACTATAGAAACGACAGGCTGACATAGTTTTCATGTAGAAGATCACTAACATCTTTTGTATTTTTTCCTTCTTTTCAAAGAAACTAAAGGAAGAGCTCTGCCAGTCCCCATCCCGCAGTATGTGAAGAATCGTCTCATCAGTTTGTGCAGGAACACGCCATTCAGTGTACGATGCTCTCGATGTTTCAAAGTACTGACATCACATCAGACAGCTCAAGCTCACTTCAAGTAAGTTTTATTCTGTCCATGTAAAGTGACTGACATCTAGAAATATCATATGTAAGCTGACGTAAAGTGTGTTCAGCAGTTAGTAGCTAATTCTTCCTTCCCTTTTTTTTAATATCTTCATAGTGTTAACTGCAGAGAGGGCTGTGCAGTAGCCAAGGCCGATAAAACCATCCCTCAGGTAATGAAACAGCTGCAAGTACGAGGGCAGTGCTCCCTGTGCTGTGAAATCTTCCTCAGCCAAACTGAAATTGAGAGTCACAAAGAGCTGACCCAGCATGATGTGGAGATCAACCGAACAATGGAGAAAGCACTCCTTCAACACCGCAGGTTCAGTGAAACTCAACACGCTCAGGGCGCTGAAGAGGCTCCAGGACTGTTTGATGGCCCTGAAACAACTTTTCAGAGAAGGAACAAGAAAAGAAGCAGTTATGAAGTAAATCCAGCCAAGCGGCAGAAACTCAGCCTGAGTGTGAACGGCAGCACTGTGACAGTGTGGTGCTGTGAGTGTGGCCTGCAGTACCCTGAAGAGGCCTCGGTCACCCAGCATCTTTTGGCCGTGAACCAGATTTTCCATCAGTGCGGCGTTTGTGAGAAACACATGGGAGAGCCTTCAATAACCCACCTGCATATGAGTCGCTTTCACGGCGGCGCTCATCTCTCCAACTTCCTCTACTACTGCCGCAAATGCAAAGTGGAACTGCCTCGGTATCAAGATATTTTGTCTCATGTGTCAGAGACTCACAGCGGTCACACGTATTACACTGAACAGGAAGTACCCGAAGAGCTCGCAGTTGGCGGGGAGGCCAAGCCGTCCACAAGCAGCAAAGTCGCCTCACAGTCATCCTCAAAGTCCAGTGTTGAGCAGGACAGCGCAGAGGCGTCTTCCTCGAGAACAGAGCAGACCTGGATGTGCAGGATGTGCGAAGACATCTTTGACTCAGAGGCGGCGGTCTACAAACACTGCAGCGACATAAACAGCCACAGTTATCAAAGATTCATCTGCGGACACTGCCCACAGAAGTTCTTCAAAGAGTCCACTGTGCGCAGACACTGCATGAACGAGCACAACGGGGAGTTGAAGAGCCTCCACTTCTGCGGCCTCTGTGACAGCATGCAGTTTGATTCTGAGGGCGAGTTCCTGGAGCACTACAAGAGCCTCCACAGTCGGGACTACTACTGTATGAACGATGATGACGTTGTTCAGCCTGCTGCTGCTGCTGCTGCTGCTGCTGAGAGCTCCACTCAGCCGACATGTCCATGCATGGGATCAGAAAGAAGCAAAGAGGAAAGGAAAGCTACGTACACGCAGTGCATCAGGAATCTGTCCGCTGAAGGGAGATGTCAGTTCGTGTGCGATCCTTGCTCTGTGTCTGTTCCCTCTTACGCACAGATAAAAACTCACGTTCACACACGACATCCAGCTTTGCATCTGGACAAGACCTTTGACGTACATTGCGAAGCCTGCCAAGAGACGTTTATGGACGTACCGAGTTTCCATAAACACTTTCACTCCAAACACTGTACACTGGAACCCTGCAGGACCTCGTCTAGCACTTGCAGCAAAGACACAAAAGCAAAGACGACTTCTGTCAAAGTCCTCAACGCTGTGGAGATCAAACCAAACACCAGAGGTAAATGTGTTTGAGTTATCATCAATAATCATCCGTGGTTGTGTGAAGTATTTAATCCTCCATTTAATTATCATTTCAGAGATTAAAGATGAAGTACTGGAGGAAGTTTTGACCCTGGTTCAGACTGAAAAGAAGACCGAAAGACATGAAAGTAAGCAAAAGAAAAGCAAATAAAGAGTAGAGCACCTTTACAAATGTTCAGGAGTTTTGTTACATCATAAATCAGAGCCTGAGTTCTTCAGAAGTTAGTTATTTCTAAAAAGAATAAGACGTGCTTGGTAAGTATCTTGAATTTCATCACAGAGGACAGCTTTTCAACCACTGATACATCCAAGACTTGGTGTACAATATTGAAGAGTTCTCTATGGAAGTGGAGTTGTAGGAGGTACTTGTAAATAGTAAGTGTATGATATTGGATCCTGTTTAAGTTCAGTTCCTGTGTCTTACAGATACAGACGGTGTTAGCTCTACTGCAAATTTAGCTAATTTTACAAACTCCAACCAAAGCACTGTTGTCAGTGTGAGCTCCATTTAAAAAAAAAACTTTCAGAACTTTATTATGTGAAGTTTCCTTCCAGTAGTGTTCTTACTTTACTCCACTGGTCTTCATTTGATATTGTTTTGGTCCTTGTGCTGTTATAGTTCTCATGTTTTAAATCATTGAGTCAGAGTTTGGAAAAGGATGCTCTGGGTTTAGCTGTTGGGTCTTAGTTGTAGTTATTTAGTTTGTTGTTATTCTGAGGTTGGGATTTTATTTTGTTGATTTTTTTCCCTCTGTATGTCATCTGTGTCTTTGGGCCTTTGCTTGTCCTTATTGTGTATTTATGCTTATATATTAAAGCACTCTGTAAACCTTTGTTTTTAAGGGTATTATATACATAAAACAATTATTAAAGGGGCCAAGCTGACTGACATCCACTGTGGCTAACACGCATAATAAAAACAAGTACCTCATTCAACCTCAGCTTATCGTAACTGATAATGCTTCATCATTTTAACATGAAGTGTTAATAGTTTCAGTGTGCTCTGTTACAGATGATTCTGAGGAAGAAATGGACAGTGCACTGTCTGTGAGTGCAGAGGAAGCAAGAGAGTCTGCAGGTACGTGAATGTAATCCTCTATTTTTCCAGCCTTGGGCTACGACTGTTGGAAATTAAGATTAATTCAAGTAGCCATTCTTAGACACATCCCTCTGACTTCTGCTGAGTCCTCTGAATGTGCTTTCGATTATCCATAACTGACTGATTACACTTTACAGCAAAGATTTAGTCTCTGCTCTGAAACACATTCTTATGTGTGAGTATTTTGTCTTAGAATTAAAACTTAATTTAAATAAGCAAAGAAGATGTTAGGTGTTTAAGAAAAAAAAGTGTTGGACTGAATACTGACGTAATCAAAATTGTTTATTTCATTGCTTTATATCTATATTGCATACCCAATTTTTAAAGTATTGGCAAACGAGGTGAAACAGGCACATTTATTCCTTGGTATTTAGTATTTTTTAGTGTTTGTATTGCATCTTGGAAGACTAATATTCTGCTTTTCTTTTGTGTTTTCAGAGTTGGAGGAAGCTATCAAGAGAAGTCTGTTGGAGTTTTAAGCTTACAAAAGATGACTTCATATGTTCACCAAACATGTTGAAATGTTTTGTACTAGGTGTTTTGTTTTCAGAATGTTCAATAAATAATAGCTACTGTTACGTCTGTGGTAATCATTTAAAAATTTACAGTTAATTTGAAGGCATTTCCATCACTGTATGTCACTCGTATTACACCGCAGTCAGATGGCACGCTCTAAGTGTAGATTTATGCGCGGTCATCTGTTGTGGAAACTCAACACTTCTGTTTGTCGCCATGTGTTCTATAGATGGCACAGATGACCCTGCAAGATGCTGTTGCTTAACATGTGACCACAAATGCGTCTCAAATTGCGGTCTCAGGTTTCACTGTAAATGTTAAATCAGTGTATTGTTCACAAAGTTAAAGTTCTGTTGAAAAGTTTCAGCTTTTCCTTAAACCGTACCATGAAGGATCTTCATATTTGTTGTCTTCAAAAATCTGCGTTGTTTCCTCAGCCATTTTTTTTGCCTCAGGTCAGTCATTTGTCTGTTGTGTAACCCCCTAATGTGATGGAGAAAACTGTCCATGATACTGAAATAGAAAGAAGCCTGGCTAGAATACGTACAATTTAAATTGGACTCTCCTGCCTGTAGTATTTAGCAGCTACCTTCTAATTTCACAGGGGAAGTCACATGTGGGGTTAAATTTGGTCGTAATTCTCATTTTGATGCGAAGACATTAATTTAGAAACCTTTGACTGCTCGATATGTGGCAGACTGATCTGAGTTATCTGGCTGGTAATAGCAACGTTTTATTAAAATCCTTTTTAAGTTAAAAAAAAAAAAACGTAAGTTTTGACACAGACTGAAAGTTCATCACAAGAGCTTTAAGTCTGAGCTCAGAGGACAAAGTTAGACCATTAACTGCAGGATTCTGGGTAGTGTTAGCTTCAGTTCAACTTCATATCGACTCAGGCGCTAAATGGTCTAAACAAATGACACATTGAAAAGTTATCGAAGCGAAATTCATTTGCTCGTCTTCTCGCCATCGTCTTCTGAGGCCTAGATCGTAAAACACCGGTGCATCATCATTATTGGTCCCCAGCAGCTCACTTCTGTTGTGGCATTTTTGATTTCCATCCTTTTATTTTCGCAGTAAGTAACTTATTTTTCCATCGCCACTTTTTTTTTCTCATTGTTAACTTCCGTTGCGGCTTTTTTACCTGCACCGTTTCTTTTTTTATTTGCAGAGGGCTTTGGTTCCTTTTTTTTAAATTATTATTTTTGCATCAGTAACTCTTTTGAGAAACTCACATTGTGACTTTTTTTTTGGCATTTAATTATCATTATTTATTTTATTTTTTATTTTTTTTTGCAGTGGCGGTCCTCGGCCACCGTATATTTCCGATAAGGTACAAACATTTGAGTAAATAAACAGTTCTGAAAAAGTTCCTTTTCAACCCCCGGATGTAAACCAGTTTGAACTTTGAGACCACCGTACAGCCCTCGGTCATTGTACTTGTGGACCACCGTTCTGGGTTTCTCGGGAAACTTCTATGCGGACGGGCTGAAGGAAGTCCCAGCCCATGTTTGGAAGTGTTTCTCCCTGAGGCTCCACTTCTGCTGCTGCCGCCAGAGAGGAGCTCTCGCTCAGTCTGCCGGACAGCTCAGGGAGTTAGCGCACGTACAGGGCGGGTTTCTCTCCGGTACGGATCAATATATATAAGAACTCCTCGGCATCATGGCTCAGGCCAAAATCCAGGCGAAGATGAACGAAGGTCCGTGCAAATTCAGCAGGACACTGTCTATGGCTGACCGCTCCGGACGGCTGCTGGAAAATTTGGACCAGCTGGAACTGAGGTACAGTAAAAACAGGCCTGACTGAGCATGTGCTACGGACAGGACAGGACACTTGAGGGGCTGTTCAAGCTTTTGTTATTGTTTTTTTAATCTTTTATTTTAGATTTTTTAGAGGGTCACGATTCCTAACTTAAAGAGGAAGAAAAGTGCTAAAGCGAATGAATGATTTAAAGAAAATTTAAGTGTAAATATCACCTTATCTTAATCTAGTAAGAATATTCCCCATGAAAACAGAACATGGATTTATACAGATATGTAAGGATTATTGTCTGTGTTATTGCAGCCTGCTTCAGTATCAGCCCGTTACTCCAGTGAAAGGATGTGGTTGTAAATGGTGTCTGTGGTCATGTGTGTTGTCTCACAGGGTGGAGGCTTTACGTGACACAGCACTGGCCATGGAGCAGGAAAGGGAGTGCATCCTGGAAATGATTCAGTCCATACAGAACAGTCAAGAAATGCGAAACATCTGTGCTGGTGAGGCTACTGACTCCACACTTGCTCAGAATCAGGGGTGATCCACCTTGCTATTATTCTCTGTTTTGCTTTCAGGCAGCTCTGTTTCACTCTAACATTGTGATCCAGTGAGGTTATGCTTAGAGGAGTACTTTGTGGTTGGGTGGTGTTGCTCAGGATTCCCCTCAGGGGATTGAAAAGAGAACAAGGCAACAAGAGATTTACACCCCACCCAACAATGAACCACAGAGCAGCTTTTCTCCTGTTTCTCCTGAGCTGATTTTTGAGCGTATTCACAAAAAAAGACAGTTTCATTCCAACAGTGAGTATATTCACAGGTTTTATCAAACGAGAAAAAGTTTTTTTTTCCATCAATTCTGTTTAATTCAACCAACTTTTAAATTGGGACTGTCAAGATTGGACCCTAATTTTCCACTCTGGCCAACCAGGGGCAGATTTAGAGAGTGGCCAGGGGTGGCTAGGGCCCACCTTGTATTCTGCCATCCCAAAATCCTTAAAGGGATACTCCAGCGTAAAATTAAGTAAAAAACACTGAGTTAGTCAACCCCGTCAAGAGATGAATGTTGCAGACTGCTTGCTTCTCTAGTTATACCAACTTTCGTAATGACCGTATGATAGCAATACAGAGAGCCACACGCTCAACCAAAACGCCACTCTGTAGCCACAAATAATGCTCAGAACAGCACCTAACTTCATCAACAGTACATATAGGGTCCCAGCCACAGCGCTAGCCACCAAACATCTTTTTAGCTTTGCCTGATTTCTTTAGCAAAGCGACTAAACACAACTACGGAGACCTCCGGGCGAGTCCATCGACTGCAGTGGGGTGACGCAGCTCAAGGAAGAACATTTATGATCATTTCTTTATCATTTCCTTGAAGTAATAATCACCGTATTAGTCAGTTTGCACTGCAGACGCTGTAGTTCTTCTGCCTTAGCGTCTCGGTCTGATTGCATTTCCATGAAGAAATGATCATAAATGTTCTTCCTTGAGCTGCGTCACCCCGCTGCAGTCGATGGACTCGCCCCAAGGTCTCCGTACAAACAAGCGGCTGCTGGAAGAGAGTAGGTGAGTAGTGTTTGCCAAAGAGATTCGGCAAAGTTAAAAAGATGTTTGGTGGCTAGTACTATGTCTGGGACCCTATATGTACTGTTGATGAAGTTAGGTGCTGTTCTGAGCATTATTTGTGGCTATAGAGTGGTGTTTTGGTTGAGCGTGTGGCTCTGTGTATTGCTATTGTCCGGTTGTTACTAAAGTTGGTATAACTAGAGAAGCAAGCGGTCGGCAACATTCATCTCTCGAGGGGGTGTCTAACTCGGTGTTATGGTGCGTTTGACCCTAACTTAATTTTACGCCGGAATATCCCTTTAACTACAGTTGAATATTTGCCTGATCAGAGGTGGGGCTTATGTCAGAATAAACTTTTTTTGTTGGCTGAGTAACAACAGGCTGCTTGTAGCTTTCTTTGTGTTCACATTGGAGTTGTCACAACGTCAGATTTCACCCTGTGTGGAGGCCGAAAATTGAATGATAATGATATGATTGGGTTTATTTATAGAAAAAACTGGAAGACAAGGGTGGAGAAACATATTACCCCATAACCTCTGATGACTTATCATTCAAATGACTCGATCTTGTTTTGGTGTACCCCTTGATTTCTTATCTGAAAAAATACAGCATTGATTACTTCTATATTCTTTATTTCTAGGGGAGAGAGAAGAATTAGATTTGACTGCGGACCGTCTGATGGGTCGCGCGTTGTCCGTGGAGATCTCTGTCGGCACCATCAGAAACCCCCAGCAGGAGGAGGCGCTGCGTAAAGCCACAACTATAATTGACGAAATGGTGAAGAAGTTACTTGACGACATGGCGGGCAGCCGAAAACAGCTGATGGCCCTGCATGCGGCATGCGTGAGTGAGGCCCCACCTGTTCCCGTTGATCAGAAGTTTCAGGCCATAGTGATCGGCTGTGCTCTGGAGGACCAGAAGAAGATCAAGAAGAGGCTGGAGACTCTGCTGAGGAATATTGAGAATGCTGAAAAGAACATCAAAATCTTCGATAATCAAAAACTGGACAACCCAAAAGCCAACGGGTGTCAGTAAAACAAAAAAAAAATCTTAAATACCACTAACCTCACTGAGAAATTTTCTAACTCTTAAGCTTTTTAAAGGACTTGACATGTAGAAGGGAATGAGCCCTGAATTAAAGGGAGTGCAAGACCAAAAATACAAGAAGTAATTCACTATGAAGGAATAAACGGATTTACAGATTTTTAATTTTTGTCGTTTACACAAAGCAAGCTCACGTACTGTACCTTCAGCTCAATGTTTGTTCACATGGGCGGCACATATGTCAGAAATCGACACAAAGTCACAGTGCAAAGTTGAGGCCACAGTCCATCTGAACAATGATTCCAGTGTTGCAGAGTATCTCTTTCACTTGTTTCTCACTGTGTAAATCAACACGTCACTTGGTAAGGATTTTAATGTGCACACACACACACACTACCTCTTTGTGTGGAAGCAAAACGAATCACATTAAGCTGTGGGTTTTAGTCTGTATTTGCACAAAACAGTTTTCTATGTCAAAACAGTGAATAAAAACACATTATCCAATCAGTGTTCAGAACAGCAGTCTGAGTATGTCAAGATAATCCTAATGGTTGAAAATCTAACAGCAGATTAGCATGTATGTTATTAGGAGGAGGAAGGCTGTAGCGGTTTTCCGGCGAGTGTTGTATTACCACTGTCGTATTATAGGATTAAACTGTGTTCTATATAATCTGTAAGAGCCGGAATGAACGCTTGTTTGCAGCCAAACATCCACTTGCACAAACATGACGGACATACAAAAGAAAACAACATGGAAAGTGTACTAAAACAGTGGTTCTCAACTGGTGGGTCACAGACACGTTCTGGAGGGGTCGCAAACAGCTGGTCAAAAAAGTGAATATATTTAATGCGCATCTGATGTTATCTTTTGAAAAATAGCTTATTTTGAAAAGCACACATACACGGGCAGCACCCTAGGCTCGGTAGCCAAGGTAACAACTATTGACTTGATGAGGAGGTAAGATGGCAAAGCGATAGTGTTCTAGGATTAAGAATATTTGAAGCCTTTAAATTTTATGAATTGACTTCAGAGTTTGGTCAACTGAAATAAGACACTGAATGCACCAGAAAAAGAGGAGTTTTATTTCTGTTAGAGTACCGTCAGTTTCCTCTAAAACATAAGGTGTACAGTGGAGTGGGACACCTCAAAATGTTATACATCTTTATTTGTTAAAAAAAAAAAAAAATCCAACAATGATTGTTGTTTTTGTCACACTGAAAGCATTCATATGTTGGTTATTTCCATTTAAATGTTTTGTAAATGGTTTATGAAGTCAGACATTAAAACACAGATTATTACAACACCTGAGTGACAGCACATAATGAATGGTTAGTGTCCACATGGTTTCTTTCGACTTTATGCCATCTTCATGATAAAGTGCGCTAAAATGGATTCAGTCCAAAAGCAAAAAGGCAAAGTAAACGCAATGTTAAAAATAAAAGAGAGAAAAAATAATTATTATTTACACATTTAATGTGCAGGTATTCTTTAAACAAACAGCAACATAAGGCATTAAATGCTTGATGAAAGTCAATAGGGGAGAATGTAAACATGGACAAGGCATTGTGGCGTTGAAACCATGGTATGACATTCACTGATGTGTAAGAAGGCCTGCATGCATTACAGTTAAATTTCTTTTTTTCTCTTCTCAAAACAGCAGTGTTACATAAAATCGAGCCAAATGACAAAGCTTGAAATGTGACAGAACCTTAATAGCAACAGTTCAGCTGGAAAACATGGGCAGATTTTCATTCTACAGTCACTGCAGACTTCTTGTGAACAGAGACCGCTGAACGCTTCAAACAGAAATCTGAAACATGTTATAAAACTTATCTACATGCACACTTTTTCCAAGATAAATACTTTTATTATTTCTATGAAAATGGTAGGAATTTCAGACAAGATCTTTGTTGCAAGACTTCTACATCACCACGTCTCTTTGTGCTTTGTGAGGATCTGTCTGTTAGAGAAGTTTTTGTATAACAGAAAAAAAGGATTGATGTAGATCAGGCAGTAACACAGATTTCGCATCAGTACATGAGGACCCCTGTGGAGTGAGAACAATCTTAGTTTTCTTGCATATTCCGGCAAAAACCAGTAAAATATTAAGTCTAGGGAGCAAGGGTCAACTTTGTGCTCAGGAGTCCAAACCTCGAAAACAGACACTGCTAAAAAGTGTGTTTAGTCTGCTCTTAACTTTACGTACTATTTCATCTCCTTTTTTCCGTCAAAAACAAATAACGAGGTTTACAAATGTTGTGTTTCCATTTTGAATAGAAAGATTAGACACCACAGAAGCCACATCAACTTTAAAAATCTTTAAGTATTTGAAATTTTAGAAATACAATGCAGTACAACATGATATGCCATGAAACTCTAAAGGCCGACTGATATGTCACTCAAAGCTGTACCGAAGATACAAAGACACGCACTGTGAAATGTCGAATGTAAACAATCAAAAACATAGTGCTATAAGTGACTGTGATTGGAGATGCTATGACTGAAAGAGTAGACCGATCTTCGTCTCACGTTTTGCATCAACAAGCCCTAAACCTTTCCGAAGTCTTTGAATTAGTCAACAACTGTGTTAATGAGTGGACTGCAAGCAGACAAGTAGAAGACTATTTAGTGTCAAGAGTTATTGATATTTGGTTATACATAGGAGCATATTCTACTTATTTCATGATACAACCATATCACTGCAGTATTAATGTTTGATTACAGCTCAGTACAGAGCAGATTTGGCACTATGTCAACACTTCAGAGAAAATAATCCCTCAACACTGATGAGGTTCATACAAAAATACTCTCACACAGAGAATAAACTCTGGATTTGATAGGGTTTCGATTCGTGGACAATACACAGATTAGTTTGAACCATATTCTCATGGAAGTTTGAAAAAAGTGTTTCAAAATATTCTGTGAAACTGTGCAGCTGCTGTTTTTACCCAGGACAACCACAGGGGGGACCGAAAAGAGTACAAACATTGACATGCTTTTTGTGCGCAGATCAAGGCTGAATCGTAATTCAACCGTCAATAACGGGAGCTGGAGTCAGATTTACGCTTTAGTTTAACAAGGTAGTACCAGAGTCGTGTTTCCCAGTCTATGTGGGCTTTGGTCTCGCAATGTGGCGAATGACAATCGAATCTCAGAAACGACATTCAGTCACTGAAATGAGTGGAGTCTTATCTAGAGTAGGCTGCAGCTTCCAAATGGATTCCTACTCTTCTTGGTTCTTTGTTTGTTTGGTCGCAGAGTGATGATTTCTCTGCCGTTGCTGGAGCTCTGGTTGCAGATGTTACCGCTTGTTGTATTAAAAACACCTTGGAGCAAACGCACACAGGGTGAGATGTCAGCCTACGAAAGGGAAAACCTTGAAATGTTTCATCAAAAGTGATTTTATTTTCACCTATTTTATTGCTGGTTGAATGGACCACCTCTGTCTCCTCTGCTGTTTGCTGTTTGAGTCGCTGCAGATACTTCTCAGCTAAGTATTTAAAAACTTGAAAGAGTGAAGAAGAAGAAACGTTACAACAGGAACAACATGAGTTTCTTACTTGTATCCATGTTTTATGATCATACCTTCATTGACGTTAAGGTCCTCTTTTACAGATGCGCGATAAAATCTCAACTTCAGCCTTTTTGCCAAACCCTCCGCCTCCTCGCTGCAGTTCAAGAACAAAAACATCCTTTTAGATCACAGAGAGTTATGGTGTCTTAATTGAAATTTACCAGTATTGTTACAGTATCTGTTTCGTGCCGTTGCTGCACTGCTCCCGTTTGGGTTTCGAATGTGTGACCTACTTTTTTATGACGGTTTCTTCAAGGAGATCAATTTTGTTCTGCACCAGAACTGTGGGAATATCTCCGACCTCTGCCTCCACCTTCTCCCTCCAGCTGTCTATAGCCTGAAATGAATCTCTATCTGTGGTGGAAAAGACGAGCACACATGCCTGGGCCCCTGAAATATAAGAGAACAGAACAAGAGGTCATGCTTTCATCCCGATCTTTCGCTTTCATGTATGCTTGTATGAATAAGATGCATATTTACAGTTGCTTTTATCGCTTTCTATGACAGAAGTTAAAAGCTGTGCTGCTAGAAAACCGCAAAATCTGGGGCACAAAACTTGACTCCGGGTCACTGCCCTTGAGCACTGTAAGTTTGAGTCTTACCGCGATAGTAGGCCTTAGTGATTGCGTCAAACTCCTCCTGCCCTGCGGTGTCCCACAGCATTAGTCGTACCTCTTCGTCATTCACTCTAAAATGAGGCGGTAATAAGGCACAGTTATAAAATCACTCTTTAGATGGATCAATAATACCTGCAGTGAAACTCAGATTTCAGTGCAATAGATTTGCTTAAAAAACAAGTTTAGAAAGCGTCTGTTGTCTGACCTCAGTTAACCCTGACAGAGGTGATCATGTCTAACAGTCAGAGGAAACTCTTTCTCAACCTGATCAGTCAGCCCACTATTATTGTGATCACTCTTTAGAATTGCAGACATGAAGCAGATCATCTTATTTAATTTGCTTTCACTTAACTATGATATAAAAAATAAATAAAATTCAACAGATGATTCGGACTCAAACTGATAAAGCTGCATTTGCTAAATGAAAGACCCGGCAGAGACAAAATCACGCAGGGTCGATGCATAAATTAAGACAGATGATCTCATTAACCCATCATTAGCGCATGATGGATCTATCTAATAACTCCCGTTAATATCCTGAAACTGATTTTCTTCTCTGGTCATGTGGCGTGAATGACAGTTTCAGATCTATTATTTCAGCAACCACCCCGATAAGTTTCAAACAGCAACACCGAGAAAACAAAATTGAAAATGAAAAGTGAGCCCAAAGAGATGAGAATGCATTATACAACATTTCACAAATACAATCACCTGAAGGTTCTGGTGTCGGCCTGTTTTAGTCTCTGTTAGAGTGTGATGTCAGGAAAACACCATCAATGAATTTCATGAATAATTTTCATACATAAAATCACACGGGTAGACAAAGTGTCCTGTCAGACTCGCTCCCAGGTCAGTTTCCTGTTTTTTAAAAACTGATCTCTGATCTCCACGATGATCTCTCCACCTTTGCAGGACTACATCCCCATAGTTAACTGTGAAGTGACTCAGGAAACTGCTAATCCTGCATTGTAGTACACACCCCAGAACAAGGGTTATATTATACATTTAAAATATTACAAAGGTGTAAGTATGCGGACATCAAAACTGAGAGGTCACACCTCAAGGTTAATGTCTCTTTCTCAAACAGATAAGCAAGAGGAGACTGTCTATAATCACTGTTAGAGGGGAAGAGTTTAGTTTTGCACAAATGAGGTGTCTAACCCACAGAGGACCTTAGTGACATAGAAACTATAAACTCAAGTTTCTTCAGTATTTACAAACGGCATGTTTAACCTGTTAGCTTTTCTGTAATTAATGAAGAAATGGGGAAAATCCTGCCACAGAACATCATACTCACACTATCTGTCTCTCCAGAAAGTCCACCCCGATGGTCTTTTTGTAGTCCTTCGTGAAGATACCCTTGCAGTAGCGTTGGATCATACTGGACTTGCCAACAGCTCCGTTGCCGACCACGACCACCTTGATGGCCACTTCCATGTCCTCCTCCAACATGGCGGCAACGTCTGGTGGGTTTCTTCACTTCCACTCTGCCTGGGTTTCTTTAGCGATGTGACAGGAACACATAAAACGCCTGTAAGTGTAAAACAACAATCAAAAATATGAATGTGAAGCATATCATAAGTCTTGGTGTGTCTATCTGTAGCCTTCGTTAATGACGATGATATCACTAAATTGCTTTTCTGACTTGCAAAGAGAAGAGAGAAGGCCACAGAATCTTGTCAGATTTTTAACTATATTACTTTTAGCATCGCAGTTAACACAAGAATTTTACTGTAGAGTGACTCTTGTTAAGAGCTTTATATACTCAGTAAATGGAACTGCCTTTGTGTGCGTCCATTAAAGTCACGGCTGTAAATTTTACAAGGAAGATGTTTGGAGGAGCCCTGACTGTTTATCCTTCCATTAGCACTGAAAGCAGCACACACCACATGGCAACTGTGGCTCCCACACTTACATGTGTGTGTGTCTGCTGAGTGCAATGCTAAACAACATATTGAGGAAAAGCTGTTCCCAGTGGACACTGACACCCTACTGCGTGACTGACGTGTCCAACAGCCTGTCGGGTACTGAGTCACGAAATGTAGTAGAAATTATTCATCAACTATAATTGAGCTGCATGACGCAGGAGCTGTTATTGCATGATAGCCGCACGTGGTTGAAAATAAACTGCTTATGATTTGAGTCCCAAGGGACGGTGTGATATCTAACGCCTGCATCACTTAAAGTGGACCAATCTGTACTAAATAAAGATCCATATATTCCATTATTTCCCTCTTTTGACACATTATCAATCCTCTCATCTCTCAGTGTGATCATTTCTAAGCGTGGCTGATCATGTTTTAGGGTCACAGAAACTGCGTCACGTTCTCAAAATGAGTGCATTGATCATGTTTAGATAGTTGTTGTTGCTGATGTAGTTAGATAGATAGATAGATAGATAGATAGATAGATAGATAGATAGATAGATAGATAGATAGACTTTACTTATCCCAATTAAATATAAGAAGTATGTACAATACAGACTAAATATACTAGATATATACAATAAATACAGCCTGAATATACTAACATCCTCAGAGAAAAAAGTGAGATATGAAAAAAGTGGGCTATCCATGCAAAATGCGACATGATTTCAGTAAAAGACAATGATAAATACATTCTTAAATAGTGACTCATCCTCTTGTTTCTCTTCATGTACAAAATGGTGTCTCACAATGGTTTATAATAGGTCTTATCTTGTTTGTAATTTACATTAAATTCATTTGTGTAACAATGTTCAGTGCAAAGTTCAATTTTTACGCTGCTGACAACATGATTTAATACTTCATCTTCCCTAACTGGTACAATTACTTCCGCCAAGCTGCTTTTAATGCTGTCTAGATGAGGTTTCCTACGTTAAGATTGGTTCTCAAAGTCTTGAAAGTCTGCTGGTAGCTGGCAAAATGCCACTTCACTTGCCAAAAACAGCCTGTGGGCCCTTCAGCGAGACACCGAACTCCGAATAACTTTGAAAACTTGTGTGCACTCACCATTACTCTGCCATCACTCTAATAATGCATGTCCATAGGATCCTGTTTGAGTATGTGTGAATTACAGTCCATGTGTTCATAATCTGTTTCTGATCAGAGTGAACTTGGCGTAAAAAGTAGGCTAAGGAGATGAGAAATAACATCTGTTAAATGTAATTTATCCCAGATATTCCCACATACATGAATATGCACTTTGTTAAATGTGCAAAACAATGTAAACCAGTGGTTCTCAACTGGTCTCACTCTGGGACCCACATTTTCCCATGGTCCTTAAGTTGTGACCCACTATTATAGAATTCAAACCAAGCAAATTTAATTTTTATTTCAAAAAAACTTTAAAGACTCTAATCTTTAACATAAATCCACTTGTTTTGTTGAGAAAAGTGCATTTCAAAGCACATGAAGGGGACAACACGAGGACGACAACTGCTGAAGTTGCGTGTGCAAAAAGTATCAAAACATCTCATAAATATCGCATTAAATATATTTACTTTTTTGAACGGCTGTTCGTGACCAATTCAGAACGTGTCCGTGACCCACTTTTGGGTGGGGACCCACCAGTTGAAAACCCACCAGTTGAAAACCACTGGTGTAAACCTAGTTCACAGACTCTGTTAGATTTTTAGGCCTGAGGGTGGGGCACCTTCAAGTCAGTGTTTCAGAGCTCAGAGAAGAAGTCTTTTAGAGATTTAAAAACCACATGATGCGGATGAAACCTAACGTGGCTTTAAGTTAAACATCAATGTTAAAGTATCAGCTGTTTAGTTCGCCTTCAGTCTGCTGCTGTACTCCCTTAAATCGCGGAGAGTCTGTATCTGACCTGTTGAACAGCTGGCAGCAGAGCATCCAGACAGTGAGCAGCTGTCTGAGCCCGTTAAAGCTGAAAACAAACACATACTGGAACCATGAAGGGAGGACATTTCCTACCTGATTTGTCAAGTTTCAGCTCATCCAGTATCCGCCAACATCAGAGAAGCTAGTCAGCTAACCAACAGTCGCATACCGGTTTTCTGCAGCCCCCCTCTGCTCTGCTCAGAGCTAAGGTATCTTAGCTAAGGTTAGCCGGTTTTCTCACTGAAAATTACCTCCGCTTCTGCCCGTCAATGATGGATACCTAATGACCACTCAACCCGAAGATTCTTCGCTACAAGACGGGTGAAAAAAAAGTTTAATAGGCGTTGATAACTGGGCAAAATTATGAAATATTCAGGATTAAAGCAATGCTATCTGTTACTAAACCCACGTACCAGCTAACTACGTCGCGCGCATATAAGGGTAGCAACTGGCTGGATCGCCAATGTTTGTTGCTAGGCAGCAGAGTGCAGAATACAACGTCTTCTTCTTCGTCGGCTACGTTCTTCTTCTTGTTCATTATCTCTCCCTTGGTATGTAGATATGTAATAGTGACGCATTACCGCTGCTAGGTGGCAGGGAGGGGCACTGCGAACCTAAATTATCCGCATTTGGCGTAAGGCAACACATAGATATATACAAGCAAGACTAGATGATCTGCTTAATGTGTATTCATGAAAATCTATGGTTAAAATTATTCTTGAGTATGCGGAAACATAACTAAAACTCTAAGGTTTGTTACAAACCAAACCGTTAGAAAATTTGTGTAAAATTAATCAATCTGTGGTTATTTAAATGCTACATGCACCGTAGACTGTGATGTTATGAGTGGGCGAGTGTCCCGTAGCAAAATGGCCGCCATGCGCGGACGTCGGTCTCCATTGGCTAACAGCGTGCGTAAGACATCTAGCGTTCATATATATATATATATATATATATATATATATATATATATATATATATATATATATATATATATATATATATATATATATGAACATACCTCTGCTCTGGGTTGGTTTAATTTGAACACCGGAATCCCAAGATGTCCAATTTGAACCCGGTAAATTCCTCCAAAATGACTCAGAGTCGTCGACCATTATACGCCACTTTCATGAGTATCGTGGCTTTCTGACATATTTCCTACAATATTAACACCACTTTGTTTCTTTTTTGGTTGTTCTTATCATCAATGGCAGAAATGTCGGGCTGTACGGTGTTACAAAACGAGCGTCCACATATGACGCTCGGGATTCTCTTCCGTGTTCCTCTCAAACGTCATCATTTACCCGCGTTTGTTGAACAGCCCACTTTGTTTGGCGGGACAGAGCGAAAGAGAGACCACTGTCGTCTTCAGACTGGTAAATAACCGAAATATAGTCCTTTAAAAGTCGCTCATGTATCACGAAATAACTTGTATACAGTTTGTACATTGTCGTCAACCTTTTCACGGGGTAACTGACTGAACGTTAGCCTTCATGTACTCAGTTGCTGTGTGTTGCTGTTGTGTGTGTTGTTGAGCCAAGGTGTTTGTGAAAGTTAGCTGACTTTCAGCGATATATACTCACTTAGACACAGTCGAATTAAGCCTCACTTTGGTTTAAAACTGGCTTCTTTAGAGGAACAATGAAAATTCAGAGGACTGCTGTAAACTACAGTTAGCTGGTAGTTGTCTTTGAATAGTAACAGTTGACAGATCCTGCAGCCTGTTTCTGCATGGATTTCATTATGTGCATTAATCTGTTTAGTTAGGCCGTCTGTTTAGCCGATTTCTATTAACTCTGGAGAAAAAAAATGTTGCACTGTATTTTAGGCAACACAGTATTTGCCTCAAGATTAGAGAGAGATCTGGTGCACATTAATGGCTGTGTAGTTATAGGGGAGAGTGGGGTAAGATGAGCCATTTTTCATATTATGCATCACTACATCAAGATAATCATAGTTTTGTCTCTTAATAAGTGTATCTGCACGTATTTCAGGATGTTGTTCATCCCTGCAAACCAACAGAATGAGTGTAAACAGAACTGTCTTGATAATATAGCATGCCAAAAAAGTGGTCTACTATGGTCAACTTGTATTATACTATTCTAAGTTTTTGACCTCATGTTGTAGCTCATAGATATCACTATTGATGTATGAAAGACATTTAAAATGATCTTTTTTTTTTTGGTCTGAACACAATTCTAATCAAATTTATGACAGACTAAATTCACTTTCAAGAGTAAAATAATGTCAAACCCCTTCACCCATGTTCTTCTAACCTTCACAGACTCCATGAATTGATGCCCATCTCCTAAATATTTGGTCACATGATCAATTTCTTTGACCATTTCCAAGCAACAGGAGGTGGCTCAACTTACCCCACTCTCCCCTATTTGTGTTAGTGTATGAATCCTTTATATGACTGAAAATCATCAAGTCTTTCACATGGACAGACACACTGGTTATAGACGTCTTTCTTAGGTTTTTATGGTACATCCACTTTGTTTCTGTATTGATCAGTCTTCATATTGTCAGAGTAGTTCAAAATCATGTCTATGTAGGTCTTTATTCATCCAAGGCTGGACTTTAACCAAGTCCAGTGGCCCTTTTGATCAAGCCTCGGATAGTTTAGTATCTCATTGTTGAAATAGTTCTTGTCTGTATAACACTTTTTTATTTATATGTTTGATCTTTGAGATGTTCCAATCTAATAGCCCTACTGGGATAAAGTAGGTTGAATAAAATCTGATTTTAAATTCAAGGACAAGCATGTGCAAGTGTAATGAATAAGTAAATGGTTTCATTACTTGAAAAATAGTCAGGAGAAGTGAGTAAGTGAAGGAGAAGAGTGTTTTCTTTCTCTTTGAGGATAAATACACGGATGTTTATATTTAAGTTCTCTTTGTCTGGTGCTGCAAGAACTGTGTCTGAATGTGATGAGAGAAAAAATGCTTTTGATTTGACTGTCAGTAACTTGTGCTGTTGCTCAAATGTATCTGTACTTTTCTTGCCAGATAGCTTGGCATCACCCTGATTGATAAGCCCGTTGTATTATTTTGCTTTATTTCAGTATACTTGTTTTCTCCTCTCATCAGGAACCATGCAGTTCTCTGGCAGAAAAAGAAGGATCATCACCAACTCTCAAACTGAGGTGTACGGACACACTGTGCAGTTTTATGGGCAGCCTCCTCTTGAAAACATCTCTCTCTCTGAATTTGAGACATTTGCTGTGGAAAGACTGAAATGTAAGTCCTCAGTTATTTTTGCCAATCGCAGAAAATTTACTGATGGATGTTTTCATCAGTCATCTTTATGTTCCTCTGCAGTGTTGAAGACGGTGGAGAATCTGGGAGTTAGCCATGTGAAACTGTCTGAGCCGTATACTCAGAAACTGGAGAAAGAGTTTAAAGCCCTGAACTTTCCCTACAGACCAGAAAATGTGAGTGTATTAAACACTGAAACAGCCTTACACCACAGGACTGCTGACACTTGCTGACTTTAAATAACCAGTGCAAACTGACCGGTTTGGATGAGCAGTTTAAGACTATAATAATATGTTAGAGATGTATATTTTGAGATTTCCATGATGGTATCAAAACATAATCAAAGTGATCTGCTGCTAAAACGGCTGTGTTTACTTTGATTTGTTAAGGAGGACAGAAAATCTCAGACTGGACCAAGTGAGCAGGAGAAACGAAGGAAGGACCACATCTCTCACTTCATTCTCAGACTTGCCTACTGCCAAACGTAAGGATGATGTTTTCTCTATATAGTAAATAAAAAGATGGGAAAAGTCAGATTTAATGGAATAAACATTTGTGTGTCTTACAGGGAGGATCTCAGACGTTGGTTTATACAGCAGGAAGTGGATCTATTTCGCTTCCGCTTCCATATCCTACATTCAAAGCAGAAGCTGGAGCTTTTACACAGGAACAATCTCGAATATGACGCGGTAAATTTCTATCCGTTTTTTTTTTTTTTAATGCTCTGTGTGGAATTTTAAACTTATACTCAAATAGCGTCACTCTCATACTGAGGCTTCCTAATAACCTGCAAAGTAAAATGAGATTTTCAGCAACAAATGTGGTTATTTTTTCCTGTTTTAGTGACTGTTACGATCAGATTTCTCATGAAACAAGCCAATCTGAAGTACAGCATTTGCTCAGAAGTGTCCATGTTTAGAGCTCTGCTGGTAAAGTTTGACAGTGGAATGAAAGTAAGCAAGCAGAAGGAGTGTTATAATCTTTAGTTTATTTTCTTTTGATTTAATGTTTAGTTCTCATGGCTGAAACTGGAGCAGAATCAGCAGTTTCTGTTTAAGTGTGTTTACAGCTGGAGGAACTGTTGTTGGCTGTGAACAGTATTCAGTATTGAAGTCATGTTAAAAGGTTTTGTCATTGTTTGTTACAGTTTATGATTTATAATTCATATTTAATTCATTACCTCTTCACTTTTTATCCTGCAAAAAGTTTTCCTGAAAAAAAAAAAAATGGTTTTAAAAAAAAGGAGACATCTGCACATCCATCAAAAATTAGTGCTTTAGTAAGGGGCCTCTTCTTTATGACACTTTAGAGTAATGGTGCTTATTCGAAATGAAGTCTTCATTTTGGGAAACCCCTTAAAATAGTCCAAAAGGGTTCACTAGAATCATCAAAACTCTTCACAGCCCTTTTTAAAAATCCTTGTCTCTATTTTAGGAAGGTGAACTCAATGCATTTTAATAAAAACTGTCATCCAAGGCTGCCAAACTTTATGCCTTTTGTTCAGCTTGGAAAAGAGAAAACTGCCTGTACATGTTATAGGTTTTCAGTTATTCACCACTAGATGGAGCTGTTTGACCACATTAATGTAACATGAATCTGATGCGTACCCTGCTGTGGAGCTTACATAAAAGTTTTAAGTTAGAGTATTAAAAGTTATTCTTCAGAGTTTTTCAGTGAAAGATGAACTCACATTCAAACAACGTTCCATCTTTATGTGCTTACTTACATTATTGAAGGCTGCAGTTATTCTATTCAGATATTAAAGCTGGTTAAAAAGTGTGTTGAAAGTGTTTTTAATGTTGAAGTCAGACGCCTGAAAAGAAGCTCTGAGCAGGTTTTCATAAAGCGAAGGTAAATACTCACAGGAGGAAATTCTTTAACCTTTTATCACTTCAGAGTGTCAGGCAAGGACGGCGCATTCATCTGATAAATGCTGTTTGGTTTCCATGAGCCTCAGCCTTCAGTGTATTAACTCTGACACAGCTCTGCCTCTGCGGCTCTTCACTGACACAGTTCTTCTTTACTGAAACTCATCACCCTCATCAATAACTTTTCAGATCAGCGCCGAGGAGAAGACCACTCTGAGGGAGAAACTTATCAACTCCAGTTACGGCGTCAGTGGAATCACTCTAGAGGAGCAGGACTTCTACAAAGTGAGTTACTCAAGTCTCTTTCTCTCTGCTCATAGACGGCTCAGAATGTGAAAATGCCTATGCCTCCACAAAGCCGATTTTCTCATTCAGTATTATTCGGCAGTGAATGAAGTTTGCCAGACATCCTGGTAGAGTCAACAAGCTAATCTTTTGTGATGAAGGTTATGACTTTGATTTTAAAAAACTGGATCTTAGAGGAGGCGTCTTCTTCATGGTCGAGCTTCTATTTTTTTTTTTATCATTACAAAACCACATACACCTCAAAGACTTCTTTATTCTTTATGAGTTCTTTACAACGTTACTTTTTTTTAAAATTCAAGTTTGGCATCAAATTTTTCTGGATTTCTGTACCAAGAAAAACAAACCTTGAGAGGACGTTTTCTGCCAAAGGGGGCACTCCTCATGAAGTAAAGCAGCTGCTCCTGATGGTTTTTCTTGGAGCCCTCCTTTCCCTACTTGTATTTAAGAAAAGCTGAGACCACCCAGGACCCTCAAGGGTTCAAGGTAAACTTAATTATCCCCGTAAAGGGCAGTTTGTCTGCAGCCAGCGGTAAGAAAACGCAGACACAAATAAGCTTACAAAATCAACAATAAGAAAAATTAGAAAACAGATTCATCCAAACAAGATATTATATACGAAATAGATCAGACTCTGGATTAAATTAAAGTCAGATAGGCAATAGATATAAGGAGTAAGATGAGTGAAAGAAAAAGCAATAACTTAGTTAAAAAGCCAATAAACAGGCGAGTTTGTGAGTCTTTTAATCCAGTTTTTTTTTCAGGCTGTATCTGCAGTAAGAGGGGAGCAGATTGAACTCTGAGAAAAGAGGGCGACTATTATTGGCCAGGATAGATTGCGCCCTCTTCAGTGTCCTCTCCTTGTACACGTGAGCCAGACTCGGGTCTCGGTCAGGCTTGGAGGGGTTGATTAATAAGTTGGTAAAACCCGTGACTGACGATATATCAGCAGAAACTTTCATACTCGCCAATACCGATAATCAACTTTTCAAGCTGTTATGTGCCGATACCGGTACTATGCTGATTATATTGTGTTCCTTTTCAATGGAGATTGAAATTATGATGTTGAAGACCTCATTATTCAACTTGAAGTCAAACTGCAGCCTTTTAGACAAAAGGATGAACCACAGACAGAAGGTGTCGAGTTTTAAGTACCGATGTTATCTGTTCAAGGTTAGCTGACAAAAGCAGTGATGATGAATAACAATTATAGACAAACCTTTTAGGACTGAGTCATTATTATTTTTCTGATTATTTTTAGGCTTTTTGTGCTTTTATTGGGAGGTTTGGATAGTGGATGGAGTAGCTGACTAGGGAGGGAGAATAAGTGATGACATACAGCTAGGGCTGGGCGATAAACCGAAAATGTACCGATACCGAAATTTATGGCAATAGCCGACGTCATTTTGCCCACATCAATATATTCGGTGTCAAATAAAGAAAGAAAGAAAAGTAGGTTTAGGATGTGTGTAGGTAGGCTATGGTCTCATGTCCCTTTTAAGATGCTGTCCTATGTTTGAGACGTGACTCCACCCCATCCAGTTCATAACAAAGAGGGAAAGACAGGTGAGGAGATGGAGGAAGGTTCAAAAGTTGTAGCGGCAGCTAAAGTAGATAAAGTTATTGTGGGAGTGGGTGAGAAACTTGTGGAGTAGATATCGAGGTGAACTGCTCAATACATAGTGATATTGATTTAAAGCCATATCGCCCAGCCCTACATACAGCGATGGGAAAATGGTCAGGTTTGAGCCTGGGCTGCCTGCTTCGAGGACTTCAGCCTCTGTACATACAGTTTAACCACAGAGCTAAACTGGTACCTTATTTTTTCAGATTATAACCCAGATTAAAGTTGAAAACTACTTTACATGGATGATTGTCCCACGCTCCATGTAAGGCAGCTGTGGCCCTCGAGCAGGGGACACAGTCTCAACTCTTGCAGAGCCTTTCTAACATCAGTCCTGGTTTCCTGTTCTCCCCTCAGACTTTTCCTCTCTAAACAAACGACATCAAAGCTTTAAATAAATAAATATATAAATGAATAAGAAAAATTTGTAACCACTCCTTTTTAAATCTGTCTATTGATGCTCAGTGATTCATCATGGGATTGGCCCTCACATGTCCTCTGTGTAATTTAAGATGTCATGAAGACATCAACCTGCAACCAAACATTTCACCACAGTTGTCTGGACTTTGCAATCATTCTGATGATTTGAAGAGTAAAAAATCATCTGCCAGTAAAAAAAAAAACAACGGTATTCCCTATTGTTGGACTTTCCAATTAGTGCCACTCAAGTGTGTGATCATAACCTGCCCAACAGTACCAGTCAAGCGGGCCAGTGAGCCGGCCCGTCTGTTTTCAAAACTGAAACATCCACCACATTGAAGTAAAACTCCGATTTGTCTGCTCAGTGCTTTTTTTTCCCTCTAACTCTACCACCTCCGGGGCCCATGTTTTGTCAGAGGGAGACAGCCCATCTTATTATATGAAATAAATGTGCAAATACTGGTCCCCGAGGCGATTTAAATCAACTTATTGGCCAATTCACGCTCTCCCAGATGTAGACTCCCCCATTCTGCATTTCCGAACCCTTCCTTGCTTTTAAAGAAATGTTATGACATAATTTTTGTTGAACTGGTAGATGCTCACAAAGTGGAGAAATCTCATAAATCAGTATGAAAGTAGAGCCTGAAAATAATTGGCTGATTGTCAGATCACTGCTTTGGCCTTTCACACTCGAATGGATTTCAGTCTACAGTCTGTTAACAAAAGGAAAAAGAAAGGAGAGAATGTCACGGCCCGTAACCCGATGTTCAATTTACATTTTAGGCTTGTTACTGACCGTCTCATTCTCTGAGAGAACCCAAACCAACTTTATTGGACTTCACTGGAATAAATGCAAATCCTCTGATTGGTTTTAGAAATCAAGAAGGCCAAAGAGTTTGTTTTTAATCTTACAAAGCATGCTTTTGTTTTTCCCCTAATATGCTGAAGTTTTATTTTTAAAGGTTCCCTTTCAAGACGCTCTGGATCTGGTCAGAACGAGGAAAGTTTACCTCAAAGCTGGCTACGCCTACATCCCTCACCAGGACATCGTCACCATCGTCCTCAATGATTTCCGCACTCGACTTTCCAAAGCTCTTGCGGTAAGTGTCTGCATTTTTATAGGATTGATAAGAAAGTGATGTTGGGGTGGTTTGTTTAGACGATTTACCAGTTTGATCCCCTCTCATTATTAATTCAGAAACCTAAACTTGATCAGTTGCTGATACCAGTCCTCAAACTGATTCAGTCTCAAGCACATCATTGCTTAAAATTTGCCTGCTAACATCACACTGTTGTTGTTCCCTATTTTCGTATGACAGTTTACCTAAGACCTGTTGATGTGTTTGGTAGACATTAGATGCATTTAACAATGTACTCCCCAAAACTCGATATCATTGAAATATGTAATTGAAATGTCATCAAATGTCACTGAAATTGGTTGAAATTCAAATTGATGCCTTTTTATGATACTCAGAAGCAAACAAAACCATCAGGGACAAGATTGAAAATTTGATTACTGTCATTTTTATGTCTCAAACTATCATAAGGGGGTAGTTGTCAGCCGAGCAGTTGAAGAAACAGCCTTGATTTTAAATTTTAACATAAAATATTTACACAAAAATCTACACTTGACCATCAAGAGTCAGCAGAATGAGATTTTTTTCTTAATACCGTATTTTTCGCATATAAGGCGCACTTGATTATAAGGCGTACCATCAATGACCACGCGTATTCGCGTCTATTTTCATTTATAAGGCGCACCGGATTATAAAGCGCATTAAGCCAAACAAAACAGTCAGATAAGTCAAACTTTATATAACTCATTCAATAACTCCGCGAGGCTAAGGTAGCTGCAGTGCTCCGACAAGCCAAAAGGATTTTAAGTGCGCCTTATAGTGTAAAAAATCCGGTAGTCACTTAATGGTAAGCAAAGAGTGCTTTGTCCACAGGAGGCACCAAACTCAACATAAGCCTAAAGTTCCTCACAGGAGCTTTAAACTCTTTTAAAAATTAAAACATTCTGAACTTTGGAAAACAAACAATAAATGAAAAAGTATTTAATAACCTCATCAATAGTTAATATACAGTAATCATATATTGGTGTAAAAATTCTGCTGATACAGCAGTTTTGCTATTAGTTGTTGTTAGACAGTCAATCACAAAAAAAACTATTCTTCTTACTTTGTAACAAATTGGTGTTGGTCGTACAGATTCATTCCCTGTTGGATTCCTACATTACCCAACACAAGTGGGGCGTCTATAGCAACTAATTTCTTTTTCTGCAGTCATAGAGAAGTTCAAATTCTGGTGAGCTAAACAGTCGAGGAGGAAGAAAATTCTTATTAAACAGTTGAATTAAGCACAATTTATTCAGCACAACTAAACAAAGGATCACGAGCTTGTCCTTTGCTCGGTGTACATCACTCCCCTCTTGTGGGGCTCTTACCAAACACAGCCTACATGCTGCTTCATCCCCACGTTCTAAATCGAAACACTTCCAAACCCCGCTGCACGACAAGATGCCATCACTGATCTGTGTTTATTACATCGGGGTGGTCGAGCATTATCACAATGTGACAGTAGTCATTAAGCAGAGCTGAATCCCCAGCTATTGGCTGTGCTGCAGCTTTGATAGGAAATATAAGAAGGAAGTTGGATCTACAACAACAAGAAGAAAATAAACCATCAGTTTGACTCACTGGTGCTTGTACTGGGTTTAAGGTCGATACTGTTACCGCTGATGGTGTCTGAAAAACTCTTATTTTTATAACATTATACAAAGCCTACAATAAAATAAGAATTTTATATCCTTTTATCATGATGGATCGTTTTATTATTGATTGAACCAATAATAGAAACATCTCACAGTACAAGGTAATTCATCACAACAGCGACTCTGACTTTAAAGCACCGATTCTGACTCTCCATGCATTTGTATTTCATACATTTGTTTCTGCCATGTTGACTCCCTGGAGATGTACATTATGCAAATATGTTTGCTGCTTTCACTGTACGCTCGGTTCCATAAGCAAGATTATTAAACTCCCAGCTACCACCATTCCCATCAGTGCCCTGAGGGAAACTTGAGGAATCTCGGGGTTCAAATGAGGAGAATAAGTGTACACACATGACATCAAATATCTGCAGGGAAGTCTGGGGACAGCTAGTATAAAAGTAGTTATTTTCCCTGCAGCCACGATGTTTTTTTTTTTAAGGCAGTGGAAGGGGGTCTGTGATGGCGCTGTATCGTCATGCTCGTGCATCGCACTGAATCCCCCCAGGGATCTGGAACATGATGTTTTGGGCACCAGAGGCACTTTTTATAATACATGTGAGGAGACAAGCGAGCTTCAGTTGCAACAGAGTAAGGGGTCCTTACTAAAAGAGAGGCACAAGCTTGCTGAAAAACCACAGGCAGTGGTACTAAATAGATAATGAGTAGACTTGTTCTATTATGAAGTGAAAGTCTGGGTGACTTACAGACAGAGAGAGGAGGAAACGATGGAACGGGCCGGTTTTAAGATAAGCACATCACTGTCCTGAATAAGCCTTTCTAATCTGGTTTTATGTAGATTTGATGTCCTCAGTCTTCAGTATGTGTGATTTCTATACCTGTTGTAATCCTGGAAACATTAAGATTTGCATTGAGATACAGAGTATTTGTCATATTTACGAAGAGAAGACACGCATTGGGAAACATCAGAGCAAGCACAGATATGGAGAATGATACAAGGACATTTCTTCCAGATAATTCAGTGTCTGATCCCTGTTGTCCTCAAACCAGGGTCAAACATATACAAGCAGTCTGTCCCTGAGGGTGACCGCCTTCTCACGACTTCTTTGGAGCTCAAAAATATGAGATTAGTTTGAGGTGTCGGTGTTTGTTCAGTGGGTTTAACTTCACAACTTTTGTATGTTTGGATGTGTAGCTGCAGAGCTGATCACAGATGAGGCAGCAGCCATTGATGATGTACTCCTGATCCCTGAATACTAAAAAACAGCTTTTATAAAAAGTGGCATCTGTTTTTTGCTTGATTTTAATGTCTCTTTTGCATATTCATCCCAAGGATTTTCTATGAATTTTCCAAATTTCGCTTGTTTACACATCCCTCACAGATTGAAGTCTTGCCTATCAGATGAGGGGGGTGGTCAGTAGAGCTGTTCATCGTCACTGGCCTCACAATATGATCTGATTACAATCATCTCATCTTCAATTTGATTTGGTACCACTATGCATCACAAAACTGTAAAGAAATACAGATCTGCACAGGTTTGGGAGCTAATAACTCTCTAATATTTCCAAAATTGAATTATTACTTTTTCTTTTCTAAAACTGCTCATAAATTATAAAAATCATGGTTTATTCCTTCTTAGTCGTTGGTTAAATGTTATCACACAAAAACTTGAACCTGCTCATTAGGCCTTGGTTCTCTACAGACCAGCCTATGGCGCCTCTGTCTGTTTCCCTTCCTTCTGTATACCTTAGAGAGGTTCCCTCAATAATGAGCACAGTTACAGGAGAGATGTCTTCTAGAGAGCATGTTGCATCATCAGCTGGAAAAAATAGATATCGAGCCCGATGTGGGCCCATAGGTTGCAAATTAAACCATCATTTTTAAGCACTGATCATCCAAAAACTGCTGGCAGGGTAGCTGATGTACTGTACAGTGTCAGGGTCCAAAAGTAACGCCCACCAAGTACAAAGCTCGATGGAGATTTCCTGTTTGGCGATGAATTGTCAGAAGGCTTCATGAGCGTTCATTGTGTTCTTAAAAGATTGGACCATGCTGAGCTTTTACCTTCGCGTCCCTTACAGCGTCCGTCTGCTGCTCCTCTGCTGTCTGCGTATCAGCTTCATAGGGCAGACTGACACACACATACATAAAGCACCGTGCAGTGATGTGCACATACAACCTTGGCTATAAACAGTTATCGTCTGTCAGTGCATGTATGTAAAGTTTACAGTGCTGCATCTTCATGCATCATAAAAATGATTGATTTTAATACTTGCTTCAATGCAACAGAGACTCACACCACGATAACACCTTTTGTGTGTATAGCAGTGCTACATGCAGAGAGATTGCTGGGCAGACATTTTTGTGGTTCTCACCTTTAAAACGAATTCTCCTTCCCAACCTTGGACGTTTTTATCCTGGTATGTGCTACTCTTCCAGGTTTGCATCAGGCACACAATATGAGTAATGTTACGCACCTGCATGCCTGTGCTCATGGTCAGTCCTCTTGAATATTTCCTGCTCACCCTGACGTCAATTTTGTTGGCGGTTTAAACATACAGGTCACCAAGAAATATTCAGAAAGTGTTGAAGAGTGGTGTCACATGCATGTGTGACTACAGTTCTTTTTACTTGTATTTTGTCATGTGTAGCTTTCCTACTTTATATTCCTAAAGAACCCGAGTCTAGCTTTTTTATTTTAAGCTCGCAATACCAATCTGTGTCAGCATTGTAAGCTTAAATTGTGTACTGTAAATACATTACCAGCTTTAATGTCACAAAGGTCCAGAACATCCATCTTATTTCAAAGAAACTGCAAGTTTGCTTGTTTTTTCCCTGTTAAAAAGAGACACCAGACGTTGCTTTTACAGAGAACCCGTTCCAGTGTACCTCAGAACTGGCAATTCTTTGCTTTGTGCATAGGAAATTGTTTGGCAGATGAACAATGGTTCTTTTATTCCGTGGTTTTGCTGTGCTGTTTACTCTTTGTATTTCACTGAGTAGTCACTCTGAACGAGCGTGTTTCTGGGTAATGACTGTGTTCATGATGTAGAGCTGGCTTCGCTTAGCCTGTGACCTTTAACAAAAACCAGTTGACAAATTGAAGCACTCAGAATGCATGCTGAGTAAGCCGGGCATCAAACCTTGACCCGCTGCTCTTTGTGCTTTTCATGCCTCGGAAACAAAAACAAAAGTATTTTTTAAGTTTCGCAAAGAATCCTCATTGTTGCAGGGGCCAATAATGACTCCTCACTTTATTTGGAGTTAGTTTTGGTGCAGTGTACAGATTCAAAATAAACATGAAACACTTGTTCTCTGATGGAAAGAGCACAATCGACATTAAACCCTCCTCACACACTCACGGGATGCATTTCCACCAGGCGGTCCTGTCTGGTTCAGTGTAGTATGGTGCAGTAAGCCCTGTTCTTGTTTGTGCTTCCACAGTACACCGTACCCTGTTGCTTGATGCAGTAGGACTGCACTGGAACAGCTTGGTTTTCATCTTGGTGTGCATGTTTATAGATTAGACCCTTCACACTGCCAGCATGATCAGTGCATCCCATGTTCAACTCACGTCCATAACATGCGCCAAATGTCCAGAGAATGGACGGCTGTGCAAACTGCAAGCAGATCATGGCTCAGCTGGCGTCTGTTTGTAAGATTGTGTCCTGATGAGACCACCCTCTGATGCCTGTTTAACACCCAAAAGCATTCACTGACATGAGAAAAAGTGTGCATGAAATGAAGTCATGACTGATCAGATAACACCAGGTGAAGATCAACAGAACAGCAGATGTATGTAGTGTTGTGGTTTGGTTATTTTGGAGCCTTTCCCAACTTGACAATGGAAGCGCCAATAACTGAGCATAGAACTGAACCAGCCTGCTTGATGGAAATGCAGTTACGAACACACTCCAATCCCAGCGCTTTCTACTGACTATTAAGTTATGTAGCCTCTCGCATAGCCCCATAATGACCACTGCGACACAAACAGCATTGCAGGTTTAAGAAATTCTCAATGCTAATACTGCAACAACCTGCTAATTATCTTCCAATGGACCCCGCACCAAGACTGTGAAACCAGGTGGCCAGTTGAAGCCAGTAAATTTTTGAGCTGAAGCCTGTTTGCGCTCAGACTCACTCCAACTGAGTTAGGCTGTACAATCCACCTTCCCTCATTTCCCCTTTTTAATTTAAGAAGAAAAAATAGATAACAGGGTAGTCAGATCCAGCGTGAGAAGCCTGTTCTGGTTGTATCTCACCTCTGCTGAGTTAGGCTGTACGCTCCACCTTCCCATAGTTCCCCTTTCTTACAAAAGAAGAAAGAGAAAACAAATAACAGGGTCGTCAGATCCAGAATGAGAAGCCAGTTTTGGCAGTATCTCACCCCTGCTGAGTTAGGCTGTACGCCCCACCTTCCCCCAGTTCCCCTTTAAAATGTAAGAAGAAAAAACAGATAACAGGGCAGTCAGATCCAGCCTGAGAAGCCTTTTCCAGCTGTATCTCACCCCTGCTGAGTTAGGCTGTACGCCCCACCTTCCCCCAGTTCCCTTTTTAATGAAAGAAGAGAGAAAAACAGATAACAAAGTAGTCAGATCCAGCATGAGAAGCCTGTTTTGGGTGTGTCTTACCCCTGCTGAGTTAAGCTGTACGCTACACCTTCCCCTAGTCCCCAATTTAGATAAAAGAAGAGAGAAAACAGATAACAGGTCGAGAAGCCTGTTTCAGCAGTGTCTCACTCCTGCTGAGTTAGGCTGTACACCCCACCTTCCCCCTTTCCTCTTTTCAACAAAAAAGAGCGAGGGAACAGATAACAGGGTCGTCAGATCCAGCGTGAGAAGCCTGTTTCGGCTAGCATAAAGTCCTTTTCTTTGGTTAGCATCGGGGTCAACACAAGCTTGATCTGCTAAAACCTGAACACATTTCCTCCATCATGGCACAGACGGAGCTGTTTTGAGCCCAAAATTTTAAGAGGAAACTTTGTCCAGTTCTGCCATGTCCCATTCCCTGGTAATTATCCGGACCACTAACTGTTGGAATGAAATAACACTCCCAAACTATTTTCCTTGTAACTGTGCCATTGTGACTGTTTGTGTTGCTACCATAATGGTTATTCCCCTCCACCGGGAGCGTCATGGGGACACTGCAGAAAATGTGACATTAAAAAGGCATGAAATTGAAAGCTGCTACTCCATATGACTCCAGTTATCGGTTGGGTGTTCATTTTAATAAAAAAACCAACCAAAGTATGGCACATTAGGCTGTTTTTGTGTTTGAGTAAAGCAGACCTTGAAATGGTGTGCTTGTCGCTGATTGGAATCATTGTCATACAGCTTTTATTTTTTCGTCTAGGGGAGATGTTCAGTCGTCTGTTGTTTGCACCTAAATTAAAAAAACAGTCTCTCACAGCTGATAAAGTTCTCACCCAGCTAACCTTTGTGCAGGTTGAGACAGGGTGTGAAAGGCAGTAGACAGGTGCTGCAAGTATTCTGCTGATGGTTGTTTTATATGCAGCTGGTGTTCAGGTCTGTGTCATAGTTTATGCTTTTTGATCATCTGTTAGCCTCCAGTCAGAAAATGTGTTTTCCTGTTTCAGCACTAAGAGGATAAAATTCAGAGGGTATTATAGTATCAGTTTCAAGGGCACACTTTACAACTAAATCAGTTTTTTGCCACTTTATTGCCTAATATTTGTAGTAATTTAGCTGAAATGGAGCAGCCCTCGTTAAAAGAAAATCATGATGTTTCCCTCACTATCAGATTACACTTGATCCGTGCGGACTCCCAGCCAAGGTTCGGACCGTGAGTGATCCACAGAGCAACAGAAAATTTATCACCATGGTGCACAATAACAAGCTGAACTCGCCTGTCCTGCTTTCACAGAGATTCAGACCAATACAAGCATGACAGAGATAACTGTCCGTCTTTGTCAGCACTGCTGCACGCTCTGATTGTGAGAGCGAGGGGAGGCGGGGTCAGAGGCTTCAGTGTTGAGGGTTTTGTTATCAGCGGGTCTACTACAAGACAGGTGACCGTCTTCACAGGCACCTTCAGAACACACCGGGAAACAGCGGTCTCCCCCACCGCTGTGAGCGTAATTACACTCTGTTTAAGCCTGAAAATGCAAGCAGAGCTGGAAAATGAGGGCGTTAAAGTCATGAAACAGTAATGTAGGTGCAGGAACACTTGGCTGCGCAAGGATGGGTCTCTGACACACTCAAACAAACACGAAGAGGATGAGTAGAAGTTGAGCTGATTCCTGATTCGAGACAAGTGATCTAGCATGAAAGCAATATTAAGATGCTGTACTCATTGAGATGTAGAAAGATACACAGTCATTCTCAGTGCCTTAAAATGCAGTCAAAGTTGTGTCTACGTGAAGAGCAGAAAAATATATAAATATGGATTTTTTTTCTGAAAAATTTACCAAACTGTGAAGTTGGTGATACATTGCTTCCCCACTAGAGTAGTGTAGGAAATATCCAAACAGTAGAGAATGACTCTCTCAGTAAAACTTTAATGTAGCTCAATATTATCAGGAAGAAGAAAGAGATCAGTATGTAGGGTCAGTGTTTGTGCGGCTGGCTCTAACTTTAACCCTTTAGGCTGCTGTACAGCGCCTGTTTTCATTGAGCTAATCCAGACTGATACAGAAAAACATGGACTGCCTCTGGACTATGTGGATGTAGGACCTCGAGACTTTATTTTGTCTTTGCATGTACAAAACTACGATGGAGTATTAGGACCAAGGGAAAAAAAACAAGGCTTTGAGATTAAAGTTGTTAATTTACGAGAATAAAGTCATTACTTACAAGAATAAAGTTGCAATGAAATCATTATGATACTTAGGATAATGTGGTGCTGATGTGTCAAAAGATCAAGTATGTCCTTGTTTGAGAAACCTATATTGAAGTACATTTTTACAAAATGCTCCATGGCTCGCATTTCATCAACTGTCATCTTAAACAACAGATTATAATATAAGGACTTTATTCATGTAATTAATTCCTTTATTACGACCTTATTCTCGTTAGTAATGACTTTGTTCTCGTAAATTAACGACCTTATTCTCAAAGTCTTGAAAAAAATGTCTGAATGTGGCCCTAATACTCCCTCATACAAAACTTGACCAGTGCTGTAAATTTATTAATTTCCCATATCCTTTTTTCCAAATAATAGAATGATTATTTAAATAACAGAGGGGGTGCTTTATTAGATAAAGTCAGCTGAGGGGAGACAGGAAGTGCCTGCTGCTCTTCGGTTATTGGTTCAGCATTATCATTGTGATGCCGACAGCTCACATCTGAGTTTATTCATAATGGAAAGGTAAAGATACAGCTGTGCATGTAATAGGTTTGCACAGCACCGGGGAAAACTGTGCTCACAATATCCTTTTATTTTCATGATACAAATATATGTACAGATATATGCACACAAATCATACCAGACCTCTGTGTCATGATATGAGACCTGCATCTTTATGTGCATTTATTCAATACGTTGCGAAATCAGCCCTCCTCATGTAAATAGTTGTGAATGCAGTTCTCCTGTTTACTTAGTTGTTTATATGATTCTGATAAGTTTGTACTGTACTTACGCTTAAAACAGCAAGTGCTTTAACAAGTCCTTTAAATTCATGAACGCCGTTGGGGGCCAACCTGTTTGAGTTTCCAAAGCTTTGTTCTTTGCAGTACTCAATCCTTGCACCTAACAATGTTCCTGTTCCAGGCCTTTGACCCGGACTATTTATCACAACTCATGTGATGTCTTTCTTCTCTGCAGCTGACAGCACGCTCGTTACCAGCGGTGCAGTCTGATGAACGACTCCAGCCGCTCCTTAACCACCTCAGGTAAGCATCAGGATTAATAACTTTGCAGCCACTTGGCCAGGACTCCGTTGAAAAAGAGATTTAGCAGGATTGATCTTTGGCACCAAAGAACATTGGAGGCTTGTGGCAGATCTGAGTAAACCCAATCTGTCCCCGTAGACAAGTCCAGATGTTTTGTGAACTTGTGGTGCAGGGAGACGTGTGCAGAATCATTTATTTCTATTGTTGAGGTTACCCAGTCTTGATGTAATGAGGACAATGCAATATGTTGCTCCTGTAGTTTGTCACGCTCTCAGTTCACAGGTTTATAATCAGCAACAATAAGTAAATGTTGTAGTGGTTGGGTTTATTCCTAACAGGCATATCTCATAGTGAAAATCGTGAGAAAACAAAACAACACATGATTGTGAAGTTACAAACTAGTGTTACTTCCTGTAACATGAAGCTGTTTTATATGAAGAGGTGATGCAGAGGAGATGTTGCATCACAAGGTCGGGTTATTGCTTCATTTAGGATCTTCTCTCAAACTGCCTGTTTTTCAGATTAGTATTTTACATTTATTCATCACCGGAGCGCCTGAGCATGTTTGAAGCATCTGTTGCACATGTGCTCTGAATGTTAAGGCCTTAAGCTTGTTTTTTGAAAAGAGTTCAAACTTTCACACCATTAGATTTTATAATCCTAGAAAATTGCTTTTTTTTTTTAGTCGCATGATTAACATTTCTTCGATTTTACATTTCGAAATACTTTTAGTTCACATTAATTGCTACACAAATGCTGCACTGATAGATGCCAGTGTGGTCTAAAACTGTCGCCTACAGGTTGGAGACAGCTTCAGGGTGCTGATTCTGTAAGATATAGTCTTTACAGTTGGTGTAACAGTGAAAGTGGAGTTTCAGATGGGTTTCTGTTTCTGTTTCACACATGACATGTATGTGTGGAGTATTGATCCACACCTGTAGGGCTGATACAACCTGCCAACCTGAGGGTATGCTCCTAACAGCGCTCTGTCAGCTTTTGGAGTGCGGTTGCCAGCTGACACCAGTCTGCTTTGCTGCACCTGTATGCCGATCTTTTAAAGTGGAAGCTTTGACTCAAACTACTTCAGTGGTATTTGAATTCCTCTTAACGTAAAGTGCATGCTGCTTTTGACCTCCCAACCTAGAGTCTTTTTTTCTTTTAAAATGACATTCAAAAGTTTAGCGACGGTATTTTCCATCACGACATCAGCACCGGTAGTGGCTTAATAATGGTGTACGGAAAGAGACAAAGACGGCAAACGGAAAAAGAAATTACAGGTTGTTGTTTTTTTTAACTTTGGATCTGAATGCCTTTTAACCACGACTAAGTTAACGCTTAATCAGCAAGCACAGCACAGTGAGCCTTTTTTTTTTTTTAATCCAAAGACTGGAGAAAGGACGCAAATAAAGGTTTTGAAGAAGTCACGTTATCTGATTATTGATTCGGATGAGTGTTCAGGCCAACAACCTCCCTTGTGTCCTGCCAGATTGTTTGGCAGGACATTACAAGAGGGATTTACGATGTGAACAGCTCTTGTTATTTTGTCCATTCCTAAAGAAATACTCTGTTTGTTGAAGTATGTCTGTTGGGATCTTTTCTCTCAGCTCCTATGTAAGCCTCCATGACTCTAATATTGTACCTTTTTAAGATGATTGCCTGTTTCCCGAAGGCCCCACCAATTTATGATGCCCAGTGTCATTTTTTTAATAAGCAGCCCTCCTGTTAATCACTACCTATAACCCGTTTAAGTAACACAGTGGTGATTGATATTGTGGCCCACTGATGAGAGCTTCTGCGTTTTTACAGTTCTGCAAACTGAGTGTCTGTAGCAACAGTACCAGGTAAATCACCGGCAGTGCAACTTTGTGACACATTTTCTTTCACTGCTCTCTGCCAGAGAGGTTAGGCAGAGATAACCTGAAATGATTGCTCTACAGATCACTTTTGTTTGAAGCGGCATGATGATTTTCTGGTGTCTGCTTGAGTTTCAGGAAAACAGAACCAGCGACTGTGGCTTTAAAAAAAGGTTGTTATTTTGATGTCCTGTCTCCAGTGCCCGCTCTTTTACTAATTTTCATAGAGGAAATGTCACCCAAAGTTAAATCAGTTTTCCTGGCAGCACTTGGAAATGGCAGCCCTTTTGACATTGTGTTATAACTAAAAACTGTCCTGATCTTTTTTTTTAAACTGCTTCCTTATTTTAGTCACGCCTACGTGGGACAAGATTACAGCATCCAGAAGAATGTCGGGAAAATCTCCCTGGAACAAATTGATCCAGTAAGTTGCATCTAAATGTCAAAATAAAATGTTTAAATGTGTAAATAAACTGTGTTTGTAAAGGATTTATCTGTTTCTGAAGCTTTCAGGAAAGTCCTTCCCGCTCTGTATGAGGCAGCTCCACCAAAGCCTCAGAGAGAACCATCATCTCCGCCATGGTGGTCGTATGCAGTACGGCCTCTTCCTCAAGGGAATCGGCCTCTCTCTGGAGCAAGCTCTGCAGTTCTGGAGGTCTGAGTTCATTCGAGGCAAAGTGGATGCAGACAAGGTAAGATTTACATTATACTTGTAACCCTTTTTTTCTAGGTTACTTCCAGCCTCTTAACAGTGGATAGGGCAGAAAACTGGGAATAACTAACTCTTGAGATTAGCGCTGGGCGATATGGCCTCAAATCAATATCACGATATATTGAGCAGTTCACCTCTGTAACGATAAACCCCCTCCAGCATTAACTTCGTCTACTTCAGCCGCGACAACTTTTAAACCGTCCTCCATCTCCTCACCTGACTTTCCCTCTTTGTTACGGACTGAATGGGGTGGAGTCAAGTCTCTGACGTACGACAGCATCTTAAAGGGACATGAGACCATAGCCTACCTAACCACATCCAAGACCACCTTTTATTTATTTGTTATTTTGACACTAAATATACAGATATGGGCAAAATGACGTTGGTTATTGTAAATTTCGGTATCTGTAAATTTTTGGTTTATCGCCCAGCCCTAGTTGAGATTCAGAATATGTTGTTCTGTAGAATAGAGAGGTGTTGATGGAGTGTAGGGTCACAGTGAGATCTGTAGAGACTCAATTAGCAACATGTTCAACAACATTCAAAGTTTTACTTTTGTTGAAAAATAAAGCCAGGGCAGCAGTGCCATCTGCAGTTCTGTAAATGTCCACTAGAGGCTCACTCCTCAAGGCAACACTTACTGTATTAACTCACAGCTTATACTTCACTCGTCCATTTCATAATCAACCGAATTAGACACCTCTCCTTTCAAACTTCTCATTTCATATTATCTATCATTATTTTCAAAACAAAATGCTCCCTAATTTTAATATCTTTGTATCAACGCCTTTTCCCCTGTATCCTTTACATCTTGAAAAAACTAAGCATTTCTTTTTCTTTATCCTTGAACGTTGGATAAGTGGACTGTAGGTCAACCTTCATGCTGCCTCTGCCTCTTCAAAGAGCTATTCACCACTTTACAAGGAGGTTTCATTGGTGGTTCAAGGGCATATTGATCAAAAGAAAATGAACCGGTATCATTACCAGCTCTTGGTGCTGCGATGAGGTTAATGAAGACCTAAGTGGTTGTGGATTCAGTTATTGTTCCTCTCAGTAAAAGACAGAGAGGCAGTCAAGACGCTTAATGGTTCCCTGTGAAGAGAAACCTCCATGTTAATGTAGTTACACTAATAACAGGAGGAAACGTGTTTAAACAGCCATCACGTTGTGTGTGTTTATTATTTTTGATTGATGATTGAAAATACTGACCATTATTTAACAGCTCCAACATAATTGTAAACCCCTGACATCAAGAGCTGCAGCGTTTTGTTTCCTTGGCTCGGCCTTGAAGAGCCGCAGATATGTTGTTGTGAAGTGACTCAGCTTGGCTTGAGTACAAGGTTTAGCCCTAAAAGTGTTAATGCATCTCCTAGTTATAGAGCTGTCGAGAAAACAACCTTCGCTTCAACAGATAACTGCCTCGATTAAAACTTCGAAACTGTTAAAACATTCCTCAACACTTCGTCTGGGCTTTTACGTCTCAGAGGTGAGCTGCGGTTCAGACATCACCGTGGGTTTTCAGACGCTTTGTTTACATGGAGCTGTTTGGAAATTCTCTGTCGATGCCTTGAACCATAAAGCTTGTGAAGCATAAATGAGCTTTCTGTTTAAGGGAATTATCTTAATCTATTGTCATTGTCTGGAGTGGCAAATATAAAAAATTAAACCAAGTCAGTAACGCTTTTAAAGTGGCACCTCTCCATTATGAGCATATCTTAATGATAGTTTAACAACAACGGGAGGCAATTGGAAACTATTTAGGTAATCAGCTGAGGTATGATCCCATCTACCTTTTTATTCTAAAGATAAACTTTATGTTTACAGTTTTATTCCTCTCCTTCATGTCAGCCCAAACGGTCTTCACTTTCTGCACTGCACAAGAATAACCAGAGCCTATGCAAATTCTGCCCAGATTTGCTGGATAGATAATTACGAATATTTGCAGGCTGAACCTAACTCACATGACATGATTATTTAGGATGTTCAAAGCAAACTGGCTTCTGTAAAAATCAGTTATTCCTCCATCTAGGTCTTTCGAAGGTGTAGGGAGGCAGAATCGAAAGATGTAATCTCGAATTCATTCATAACTTTCCTTAAACTCCTTCAGGACTTTGTTTTAAAAAACTAAAAGAGGGTTTTAGAGTGAAGACGTTATCTCTCTTGGTCGTCCGTTGCTTATTTGGGCCTGCTTTTCTGCATGTGTGAACCCCCCTGATTTGAAGTTGAAGTTGGTTCGACCCTCCAACACAGTTCAGGTTTCTCATGTGGCCCCATGTAAAAATTAATTGCCCACCCCAACATTGGACTAACAAAAAAGCCCCAATAAAATGTTGAAAATTAGTTAAACCTTAATATATTTCTTTGTCATAAAACTCTTTGATTGATAATAAATTCAATTTGAGTTGTTTCTTAAAACTTAGCTTCATTTTTTAGTTAAATATCTTTGCCGTCTCATCAGCTGTGCGACATATTTTACTTGAAATGTTTATTTTTTTAACTTCTATTTACAAACTAAAAGCCTAAAACATCCTTCAACCCTGACACGCACCCTCTGCAGAGCGGAGTCTGCTGTACTCACTTTGGATGGGATGCGGGCCTCAATCTGTCAGACAGTGATTTGTAGAGGTGAATCACGCGGCTGGCATCATGAAACTTCAGGTAGTTGAACTCTTTCTGACTGTGGACACGTCTTGCATCAGCCGGCAAAAGTGTCCGGGCGCATGTCGGGGGAATATCTAGAGTCTCAGTTTTCCTGCAGGAGTCACACTTCCAGCAGCGATGAGAGGACACATCAAAGCGCTCTCGCTTGACTTTGATGCAAAGATACACGGAGAGGCCTTCGTGTTTTTAGGGTGATCAATCAAATCTGATACTTTGTCAGACGCTTTTTTCCACACCTCAAGTACAAAAAAGTACAAAATAAGAAGGAAAGGCAGAATTTAAGTTGGTTTAACTGGTGTGAAAGTGACACTCGCGTAGTTTTAAGCCTCATTGTTCAGTATTATCCACTCTCCCTTTAAATGCTATAATACTTTTCGACAGATCAATTTTCCTACAGGGAAAGTGGTTTCTTTGCAGACGAATTTCACATCTTATTCCATAATATCACAAACTGATTTGTCTCCAGGAGAACTAAAGGACTTAATTTCACTTTTTCATTTTACTGTTGTTAAAGATTCGCCTCCTGCTTGACACGATTAACTGCTATGAGAACATTATTTAGCTCTGACCTTGGGCTAAAGTTGCAGAGACGATGTGTCTGATGTTTTAGAAAAAAGCTAAAAAAGAAAGAGTAAAATTTAGTTCGTCTATTTAAATACTTTCACAAAGGACGTATTGGAGGTCAGCGCTGATATTTTGAGTTTTAATTTTATGAACTCACTAAAGACTTATGCATCAATAGAGTTGAAATGAGATCCGTGGATTTCACAGTCCCTTTTGTGTCGCTACAAACACGAGCTGTAAAATAAGCGGTCTTGTCAGTGACACCTGTTACAGCAGCTTTCAAGACGCCATTAAGACTCGTTTTGAGCATCCGTCTCTCTCCCCTTCAGTCCCTCCTGCCCTAATGTCTGTTATTGGCCCTGAGTAACAGCCGCATGGCAGATACAGCACACTGAACTCACGTTACAGCCCACTTTGGAGCTCCATTTCTGAAAGTGGCGTCCATCCCGTGTACCAGCTTGCTGAGAAAGTGTGATGGGCTGTGCACAAAACCCAGCATTTGTTCCATAGCAGAATGGTGCTGACCACATCGCAGCTCTCACAATGATGTATGTGTTAAGTCGGAGACTGCACTTTGTGGCAGGCTGCACAAAAGGCTGCTCATTAGTATGCGACAGGCACCGAGAAAAAGATGGGAGGCAGCGATGCCGAAAGGAAGGCCTGGAGGAAGAGGCAATGTAATATTAGACTAGAGGGAGAGGGAGAATTGATGAAATCAACTTGATCTGTCCATTTTTCTTTTCATGGAAGTCAGCCTATTCATTTTGGTGTGTGTCTATTTGCAGCACACTTGAGTGTTTTGTAAGGCCCTGGGGAAGGACTGCTTCTGAACTGCTTGTTTTACAGATGTTAACTCCAGGTTAATTAATTTCCACTAACTGACACCATTTTTCACGTTATGCTTTGGTTTGCTGTGGGCCTTAATCCAACAGAAGAGGAGATTCATCAGATGACACCTCATATTAGCTGCTCTTAGAGTTGGGTTTATAAATGTACACCATGATGTGTTTTATTTATATCAACACTTGTTGTTTTAGCCCCGGGTCCTTCTTTGCTAACCTGTTCATAAACAAAGCCTTTTTATAGTGCCTTATGGGTCTGCAGGAAGACATCCAAGAGAGACTCGTCTCAGATTCTGTGCCAGAGCATTTCTAATCTGTTATCCTTAAAAAGAAGCATTGAGTAAAACGCATCAACATTTAAGCAGAAAAGAAGTTGTTTTTGAAGTTATTTAAACCCTTACATTAAAAAGAAAGGAGTTCAGAAATAAAGGAGAAAACAAAGCAACAAATCTGTGTAATACGCCCTGAACAAATTTAACAGGTTACTTGCCAATACATGATCTGACATAAAAAAGAGGATTCTGTACAATAAAATCTACATTTAGTAAAGAAGTATACAGAAGGTATTTTTAATCATTACTCACAATTTATTTGGAGAACACAAAACTGTAGATTCGTGGCTAATTTCTGACCAGTCACCAGCAGAGAGAGGACGATGCTGAGCGGACAAACAGCACAGAAACACAAACTAGAAAGGGGAGCTGAACAAGAGAGACATCAACCAAACTGAAGAAAACAGCCATGTTTTGGGCTCTTTTAGGATCTTTTATAGGCGCTGCTGATATTTTATGCATCTATTATGAATGCTTACAGAGACATACTAATATTTTAACTTTGCTGTGAATGAAAATGTTAAATTGGTGTGATTAATAACAGTAATGCAGGTTTATGTCCACCCATGACGCACTATCAACCATCCAATCTGAGGGTTTTTACAAATGAATCATCTTCAAATCAGCTGGATCATCTTTAACTCATTACTTAGCGCCAACTTGATAATATCTTTAGTCAATATCTGGATAATAAGCAGGATAACAGATGGTGAGTGGGCGGTAATAGAGTCCCAGCGGGGTCATCACACATCATCCTTTGCGTTTTTGTTTTTAATTTTGAATCTTAAAGTTTTCCAAGTGGTTTGAACACACAGCCAAAGTTATCTGAAAACATACTGTGTATTTACATTATGTATATGTTGGCTGTATGATTATAATGAACTCTAGTTTCCAAAACTGAACCTGATTACACTCAGACTCTTCACGTAGTTTTTGCAAAATGTTTTAAAACTCTCAAACTTAAAAAATCAATCATCACGGTTTGTAATCTGATAAATATTTTTTGCACAAGAGTGATTTTTCAGTAATATCAATGATCACTTTATTCTCTTTAATCTTAGTTTTTAATTATCTTGAGGGAACCTTCCCAAAAGGATTAAAAAAAAGTTATATCTTCTCTAATCTAAGTATGGTAGGATGACAGCGAGCCAACAGAGCGGTAACAGGAGACTGAAGCTGAAGCTATTTGATGGAAATCAGACGTCATTCTTTAAGATTTTACACCTGTTTTTTCCTGCCTTTTTGTATTTTTATAACATGCCACCTCCATTGAAGATAATACAAACATTTAAAGAAGACGATGAGTTTTTTTCTGTTTTTAACTCAAGTTGCATCGTCAGCGTTTCCAGCTCACCATTGCCTTTAACTTTAATTCTCTGCTTGTGCATCGGGTGTAAATGACCTTTTAAAAAAGTCCAATTTACTTACTCTTCCTGCGACATCAAACTTCGAAACTTGGTTACACTTGCAGTATTTTTATGGCCCCCCCAACCCTTTATTGTTTTTAGCTTCTTTTAAAAGGCCTGCAGTGCAGATTAAAAAGGGAAGTATTTTAAATGGTGTTATATTCAGGAGAAATCAGAGCTACAGGCAAATCAGTCACTATGGACTGAGCCTAAGAAGCGCTGCCAAGTTTACACACAAGCACGCACACACACGTACATAATCCCTTTGATTGTGTCCTATTTCTCTCTCCCCGTTGCCGCAGGTTTTTGTGAATGTGTCCTCGAGTGTGGGGGGATGTGACAGTGATGCAGCCCCACGAGCGGCTCTGTGCACTGAAAGATCTGTAGCTCTGCTCCTTTAATGCATTTTATGGGCTGATATTGTTGTGATTCCTTCAGTTTGGAGGTCAGCTGTATTGAGAAAATATCCAGGATTATCTGAAATGAGATGCAGCCGATATGGAAGAAAAAGACGTTGCAGGCTGTTTTACATAACACGTAACAGAAAAAGGCAAATCTCTGCTGCTTTTAAGGACAAGCGGTTTTAGGAGACGTCAAATCAGAGACATTCAATCATTCTCTGTAATGTCTAACTTGATTTCAGTCTGGGTTTTAAAAGTTTAGCCACAGACCTGCTTCACTTTTTCTCCCCCACTGAAGTCCTTAAATCAGCGACTTTAGCTAAAAGAAACTCTCCGTCTCCTCTGAAAGGAGTGAAAATTTAATATCATATCATTTCCAAGTCTTTGTATTACTCTTTCTTTGACCACATAGGATTCTTAACATCCCAATTATTTCACATAATACATATTAAACACACTCTAGTGCCAGTGGAGTTCCAAGATTAGTTTTAATAGAGTAGGGGGGTCTTAAATCAGGAAATTGCCTCTTGAATCCTTAGAAGCTCTACATAATTAATATTTGATTTACTGTACTTAAAGAAGATTTTATGGCTTTTTAAATTGCCACTGCAGCTTGTCACATTAGCGAGTTCAGGGGGTTTTATTGCAACATTAATGTGTTATGATGGGTGCAGTCGTGGTGATTGTGTTCTGCCACTGCTGGAGAACACTGTGTGTATTTTACTGTTTGATTTTTAAGGGCAGGATCCCCGTAATTCATTTTTATGGTCGCTCGTAAGCAAAAAGGGGTTCACTGTGAAGATTATGAAGAGTGACCTCCATTAAAAACGATGAAGGATTTTTGGGGGGTTCAAGGCAACCAGAGTCAGGAGAGAAATTAGTGTGAAGGTTTGAGGACGTCATTTTTCAGTTTATTGATATAGTTTACTTGGAAGACAAGAGAGCTGATCAGAGATGAAAATATTAAAAACCTGTGGCTGCAAACATCAGTCTAGTATTTATCAATCTGCCTATTGTATTTCAGACCAAACTCCAAATTGAATGTGGTGTCCTTAACTTATTAAACAAAATTAAAATTTCACCAAAGTGCTTTAAGTTTAAGCTTCCACCAAAGAGCTAAGCACACAGGTGCTGATGCCAGCAGACAGCAGCTTCACAGAAGACAGTGGAGAAGTATTCTGAAGTCAGGATGGGCGATATGGGCTAAAAAAATGTATCACAATAAGATTTGCCGTTCTGGCGATGACGATAAAAGTCCCGATAAGGAATATTATAATTCCAGTCTATATTTTTGACTCATTTTCTCTTGGAGTGGACGAATAAGATACTTAACCACAAGTTTGAGTGGTAGGTTATGGAGAAAAATAATGACATCAAACAAGTCTTAAATGTGAAAACATTTTCAACATTTGTTGAAAACTCTTATTACACAGAGTGAACAGCAGCAGATCCACTGTACGATGTCAGGGGTACCCGAATGCGTTCGTCTAAACCCCAATCTTGAATGAAATACCTCATGTGGAAACTCGTTCAGGAACGAGCTGCTCAGAAACGTCTTCTTCATCACCTTCGGCTGCGAGTCCGTCACTCATGCTTATTTCATCAACTTGCATTTATCAAATTTTTTTGTGAGATAGCAAATATTTATCATGGAGGATTTTTCTGACGATATATCATGAACGATAATTTATCGCCCATCCCAAATTCCGAAGCGTCTTAATCACCTCAGAGCTGCAGCATGGGACCTCCCAGGTTGGCGTGTTGTGACCGGTCCAGGGTTCCTACGTTAGTATGGAAATAAATTTGATCAATTTTCCAGGTCTTAAAAAGTATGAAAAATGCAAAATAAAGTATGGAAATATATTTATATATCCAGACTATTACCAAAATACTGTTTTCTAATATAGAAAAGTAAGTATTTCCATAAATAACTCCAAACAGTAGGGGAAGGAAAAGTATTGAAATTCCAACTGTGTAGGAACCCTGCCGGTCATTTACCGTAGAGAAAGAGAAAAACACCCAAACTGAAACTCCTCAAAAGTGTAAAACCTGATGCATTAACCAGCAATCTCTGGATGTCAGAATAATTAACAAATAACTGAATCCTATATTGAAACTGAGCGGACATCTTATACATGCACTCTTGCATATTTCATCATGTGTTAAATGTTTGAAGCTGTTAATTGAGGCTTAAAAACTTGTTAATTTTAACACCTTCACTGGAGAATGGAAAAGATCCTTCAGCTTGGATGAGTGTCAGATAAATTAATTATCACACAGTCATAAATCAGTGTGATAAGAACTAATTAGAAGAGCAGAAAGCGTGTATGTGAGATGAATATTTCTCACAAATGTTGATTTTATATTGTGACCCATGTTCTATATGTTAGCATAGAGGAGGAGGAGTTTATGACCAGTAGGGGGAGCTCTAACTCTCTTGGCTTCACTTTTTAGCAGCTGTTATGTCTTTGACAGAGTCCTTTGATTTGATGTTTTTAGGGTTTCCTCTCATCTTGTTTGAAAACTGTTAAATTTTTTTAACTTTGCAGGGTCTTTAGCAGCAAATTAAACGAAATCCTCAAAGAACCTCAGAGGTGTAGTGCGTCTTTGTAACCACTCACAAGTGGGAGAAATCGAAAATGTGGTTAGTGACCTCTCCTATTCAGTGGTTGTTTGTAGATTGTAACCATAGCTGTCAATTTTGTAGTGGAAGGAACAGTTTTGTGTGTGAAGAAAACAGCAATATTGGTGCAGGAAAGAGTCGATTTGAAACAGTCATCGCCGAAAGCTCCATACAAGCTCAGACTCTTCCAAATCTCTCTGCATTTGAAGAAAAACTTGTGTTATTGCTTTATTTTTTTTAAGTGTGAACAGAGGGTGCAGATTGTTGTGATAACAGGCTCACTGTATTTGGATTTCCTCTTTTTATTTTTTCATCTCAATCTTATTCTTCATGCCGTGACAAAGTGCTCTTCAGGACAAGGGTTAGCAGTAATGAGGGGGAAGATGTTCAGGTTACACTATCCATAATTCAGCTCTGTTGAGTGTGTGGCGACACGTCTACAGCAGGTTCTCTCTAATAGCTCTATATTTCATGGAGGAAAACACCCTGTCAAAACTGACATGATGTATGACAATGTCTCTTTTCACCCCAACCTTGTCCCTCCTTATACTCTCATCCTCACTAATGCCTTCTCCTCCTCTCACCCCTCATCTCCCTCTCTCTCCATCTCTCTGTAGTTTGACAAACAATATGCCTACAGCATCCGCCACATGTTTGGCAAAGAAGGCAAGCGAACAGACTACACCCCCTACAGTTGCATGAAGGTGATTTTATCAAACGCACCGAGCCAGGGCGACCATCACGGTAAGTTAACAGCTGTGAGAAGAGAAAACACGACTCATGTGTTAACTCACAGGCTGGTCTAAAAGTTAGTGCACAGAGTTAGTGTGAAAAATGATCATGCACATCGCTTCTTATATTCTAATTGGTTATCTAAACATCACTTTCTATAACCTCTTTTTTCATGTGGCTCCCACAGGATGTCCGTTTCGTCACAGTGACCCAGAACTGTTGAAGCAGAAGCTTCAGTTCTACAAGGTGTCTCCCAGCGGAATCAGTCAGGTGGGTGGTGCCCTATTTTTAAAGTCTGTAGGAGTCTCAAACGGCCGGACAGCCCACTACCCACCATCATCCTGACCAAGCAAACATGTAAAGGATTGTTTTTTACGGTTTTATAAAATCTCTGTTGAAAAAAGAGTCAAATCTTCACAAACCAGTCGGTACTACTCCTCTGCCGCTCAGCAGCTGAAAGAAGAGCCATAAATCTGACTCTAAAGCGTATACAGTGGAGTTAATACTTACATTTAAAACAGCTGAGACTCACCACTGCAGAGCTGGTTTTAAATATCAGCACGTCATTGACCTGAAATGTGTTTTTAATTTTACAAAACATCCAGAGCAACAGAAATCTAAAGAGAAATGAGACCGCTGTGTCGTACTGCAGGCTTAAACAGCGTCCTCTTGCAGGCGTGGTGTTTCCACTTAATTTCCAGCAGTGTTTCTTCAGTGCTTTCCAACATCTCTTGACTTGCTCCGCTGTAATTGTTCGAAGACTGGCGTCCCGTTGCTCGTATGTGTCAGCTTTTCAGTGCTTTCCCTATCTAACCTTCCAGGTTTATTTTAATTCTTTCACTTCCAAAAGACAAACTCTGTGTCTTTGCAGCTGCACCCAGAAGCAAGATGTCCCCAATGCTGCTGCGATGTTTGTTATGCTAATATGTGACTTGGCCAAGGTAGTTGCCAGCTGTTAGAAACTGGAGTAAGGCACATATACGCCAAGTGATCATGTTTTTTCAAGTTTTTAAAGTAGCAGAATTGAGTTTTCAAAACCAGGATAAGGACTTCTTCTGGCATCTGAAGAGTGGATGTAATGTTTACATGCACACACACACAAATGAGACGCTTAAAAAAAAAATAACAGAAAGTTACTCAAGCTTATGTAAAGGCACTTATTGACTTCAAAGCAAAGAGCTAATAAACTGATTTTTAGCAGGTATAGGGTCCAATATAGGAAACATTAATGATTCACAACACCTACCTATGATTAAATTAATAATAATAATAATAATAATAATAATAAATGTATTTGTATAGCACTTTTAAAAACAGAAGTTTAAAAAATGCGTTGACATATAGTCATAAAGCACATGGAAAAATCCAATCCAGGTTTATTTATAAAGCACTTTTAAAAACAACAAAACGCTGACCAAAGTGCTGTACAGTTAAATTAAAAACAATAAAAAACAGACATTTGACATGAACAATAAAACAAAGACACAGGAACACATTAAAAACAGGGGGGCATAGATGGTTCAGTAAAAACATGATTTAAAGGCCAAGTTCTCAGGAGTTAAAAGCCAAAGAGTAAAATGGTTTTCAAGTTTGATTTAAAGACAGGCAGTGAGGGGGACAGTGTGACTTTGAGAGGAAGAGCATTCCAGAGCTTAGGCGCAGCAATGGAAAAATTCCGGTCACCCCTGAACTTTAATCTTGACCTAGGGGACAGTCAGAAGGCGCTGGTCAAAGGATCTGAGAGTCCGAGATGAAATATAAGGTTTTAAAAGGTCAGAGAGATATAAAGGAGCAAGCCCGTTTAAAGGTTTATAAGTTAATAATAAAATTTTCAAATCAATCCTAAAAACCATGATTCTGCAAGAACCATGCAACATAAAATGAGACCAAAAGGAGAGATAAAAACATAAAGCTCAGTTAAAACGGAACTGAATGACAAAAATGACAAGGCCCAACACACTAATATCCACAAAAAGAGCGAAAAGAAAGAGATGTGTAGAGCCTGTTTGGACTAGAGCTCTTTCTTTCTGGATTAGGCTGTACGCTCTACCTCTCCCTTCACTCGGACAGTGATAACAGAAGAGGGAGAAGAAAAACCACAGCCAGGTCAAGAAGCCCGTTGGTGCTGAAGCCTCACCCCCTCCAGGATTAGGCTGCATGCTCTACCTCCCCATTTTCCCCACTGGAATTTTACCATCTTTTTATCCAGCACTTTTCATTTCCTCTCAACCTGTCTGAGTAATGCTCACACGGCACTGAAGCGCTGAATCATGTCAGAGTGATATTGCTCACTTCTGCATAAAAAAGAAAGACAAAAATAAGGCTCACAGCGCAGTAAGTGTTTCCGCGGTTATTGCTGGTCTTTGGTGAGCATTTCTGCAAATGTTCTATTACATTGCATGACACAGAAATAATAAAAACTGCAATATCTGGCGGAAACTGAAACAGCTCATCTCTGCAGCCCGTGGTTCTGAGCACGCTTGTGGCGGTGTCATGCTGAAGGCAGCCTTCAGGAATATGGGAAATAATGAAGGAGCCATATACAGGCACTTTCTTCTCTGTGAGTCCCTCTCTCAGTAGCTGCTGAAGACCCTGGATTTGCGAGTCAGGGGGGTCAGACACCCACATGTGCTGCTGTGCTGACACTACACTTGTTTATGTGCAAGAATTGGAGAGCAGCGATGTGACTCAACAGAATCCAGGGCTTTTAAATATCTGCTCACATCTCCCCTTTTAAACTAAGAAAAGAGCCTCAGAGAACCAGAGGGGAATAATTCCCATAACTGAGATTTACCACAGGACTTGAAGGTGTAACAGTTGCCAGCGGTTGTTCTACAAAGCACTGACTCAGGGTATAAATATTCAAATAAGACCAAATAAGCCTGTGATCTGTTTTCATTACTTTTGCAAAGATCCTGTGAAGGATGAAGTCAGAGCTGTCATCATGATTAATGAGGAACGTTCATGTAGGTAGTCGACTGCAAGCCGATTAAAACAAGTTTGATATAGAGCTGCGGTAACACAAAATGTTGTCAGTGTCTCCTGTGAATGCAATCTGTCAGTATCTGATGTGTATCAGCTTAAGGAAGCAGTCAAACTCAAAGCTAACCGCTGCCCTGAAACTTATCTTTTCTCTCGCTTCTCTCGTCGCCTTTTTTTGCAGATCCTGGAGCTGGTTAAAGGAATGCACTATCAGCTGGCCTGCCAGAAGTACTTTGAGCTGACGCACAATGTAAGCTCGGGTTTAATTTGGAGTAAGGGGGGGTAACTGGGGCTTCCTGTGTCAGAGCTGTGTGAAAACCCTGCGAGTGGAGGGGGTCATTAACACCATGTCCTTTCAGCCCTGGGTGCATACTTATTATATTTAAGCTCTTTGAGTTTGATTGCCTGAGTCATCGTCACTCTCAGCCACACTCAGGGTTCAGCGAGGGGAAAAGTATAAGTCTGCAACTCTATTTGCCTTTGACATTAAAAGCATGATATCCAGCTGAGTTTGGCACACAGTTCATGTGTTGGATTGTTTCATCGAAATTCAAGGACTTATTTCACAGTATGAAACAACATGACTCACAGAAACGCTTGGAACAGCACAGCATCTCTACTTTGTTTTGAGAAAAGTTCAAATTAAATAGGTCATTGGATGATAAACAGCTTTTAACGTATTTTTGAGTTGATTGAATCTGTCGACTGAGCACAGAATTTATAATTACTGGCCTTAAAATGCTTTTTGTTATGATATAATTACTTATTAAAATGCATTTATCGTGATATGTTTACTCAGTAACACTACAGCCCTCTTTAATAGAAAGATATATTCGACTTCATGCCTGCACACTCAGTATGAAGTTTAACCAAGGTGCTCGGCTAAGCTTAGCTTATCTTGGCTCAACATAGCTTAGTAAGCTTAGTATAAAAGACGGGGGACATGAAGGCTGGCTCTCTCATTTGTTCAAAACTTTACCCACCTTAAAAGCTCCTGTAGAGATCACGAAACAGCTCTGTGTGCCTCACACATGGATAAATACATCCTGAGGAAATAGATTAGAGGAGATTAGATTAGAGTAAAGTAGATAACAGTAGAACAGAGTAGAATATGTTAGGGTAGATAAATTCAGATTACAGTAGAGTATATTACAGTAGATCAGATTACCGTAGATTAATTTAGATAACAGAAGAGTGGAGTATATTACAGTAGATCAGATTACCGTAGATTAATTTAGATAACAGAAGAGTGGAGTATATTACAGTAGGTCAGAGTAAAATTTATCAGTGTAGATTAGATTACAGTAGATTAAATGAGATAACTGTAGAGTAGAATATATTAGGGTAGATAAATTAAGATTACAGTAAATTAGAAAACTGTAGAGTAGATTACATTTGAGTAGATTAGATAACAATAGATTAAACAGTAGAGTAGAGTGTATTACAGTAGATCAGAGTAGAATATTTTGGAGTAGATTAGATTATAGTAAAGTAGAGGAAAGTAAGTATTGGTAGACTAGAGTACATTCAAGTAGAGTATTTTGAAGTAGATTACATTATAGCAGATTAAATGAGATTAGATTACAGTAGAGCAGAGTAAAGTAAATATTGGTAGATAAGAGTAGAGTACATTCAAGTAGAGTATATTGGAGTAGATTAGATAAGATTACAGTACAGAGTAGAGTTGATTATGAAAGAATAGATTAGGGTAGATTAGATTTGAGTAAAGTAGATTACATCAGATTAGTGTAGATTTAATTAAAGTAGATAAGATTACAGTTGAGTTCCTTAGAGTACAGTAAACTTAGAGTACATTAAGTTAGAGTAGATTGCAGTTGACTTGATTGGAGTGAAGTAGACTGCAGCAAATTAGTGTAGATTAGATTAAAGTAGATTAGATTACAATAGAGTACATTAGAGTAGAGTAGACTTTCAGAGTTCATTAGATTATAATAGATTGCAGTTGACTTGATTGGAGTGAAGTGGATTATAGTAGAGTAGTGTAGATTTGATAAGATTAGTATAGAGTAGATCAGAAGCATAGACTATTAGAGTGCATTGGAGTAGAGAACACTATATCAGATTAGAGCAGATTAGATAATATACCATTAAGGTTGTAAGTGCTAAAAAACTAATTTGAAATTATTTTCCAGCAGAATCTGTGATCCCATGTTAGTCTGAGCATAAAGCAAGTAATCATCTCACTGAAATTGTTGGACTGTCCCTTTAATTCCTTTACTGTGGTGGGCTAATGTACAGTGACATAAACTTGACAGTGATTGATTATGTTTGGATAATAAGTTTGCATACATGTTTATTATTCTCAACCCTGCCAACAATTGAAGAAGGGCAAAGATGTCTTTCTGCTGCTGTGCAGAATTTACAATTTCAAGAGGCCCAAAGCTGGTAAAAACAGAAATCAATCAAAGCAGAGAAGTCTAAACAAACCTTCTCCCTCCAGTTCATCAAAATGATCGTAGAATTTTGATATCTCTGCTCCCTCTGAGAGGAAAGGTTCTGGAGATATCTGTAACAATTCTAACTGATAGGAAATGATGAAAAAGGTCACAGAAGGCACATTGTCTGTTATTTGATTCATAGGTTTTTACTCACCATGAGTGATTTTGACATTTTATTTCCTGAGATGACATTTCATTTTTGTCTCCGTGCTCTAATGAAGTAGTTAGGAGACTTCCCCTCCTCATGTGGTCATTAGTGCCAGCCGTCCTCATTATCGTAAATGAATATATAATTTGTTTATGAATCGGTAAAACCCAGCTAATGAAGTTTTGCCAAAGTGAAACCTGACAGAGCTTTCCTCGTTCCCTCCTTTTTGAGCAGATCGAGGATGCCAGTTTCTCACTCAATCACCCCAACCAGTACTTCATCGAGAGCCAGAAAGTTTTGAACGGAGGCAAGGAAATAAAGCGAGAAACGGACACGCCACAAAGATCGCAGGACAAATCCGCCGCCAGAGGGTCCAGAGAAGCAACAGCAAACGCCCCCCAGGCTTTGGCTGAGATGACAGAGGACCTGGACTTTTTCTTCCAGGATGCCTGATTCAGTTTCTGCTTTTATACGAGAAGTTTAATATGTTCAGCTTCACTGCGGTTGAGGGTCTATATTCTGGCTTATGCTGAATCTTTAGAGTCACTGTTTCAGACATACTTTGTAATAAAGTTGCATATTTGTAATATCGACCTATTTTTGTGTTTTCTTATTCAACAAAGATGACTTTGATTTAATGTCCAAGGACACCAAATCCACAACAGCCCTGCAGGATTTTCTCTATATGATGGAGGCTGCTCAGGTGTGCGGTGGTAAAATCTCCTGCCAGCCGGAAGGATCCTGGTTCAGATCTGCAGCTGGACAGGGCCTTATGTGGGGTGGGAGGTTATGATTGATGGTAGTTCACCTGAGAAAGTTGAATCTATGAATATATTTTCAATTTTCTTAAAGGAGTTTATGCACAAGCACGCCACTTCTCTACTACGTGTCAGTTCACTCGACTGTGTTTGATGTCAGCCGACTGTAACAGTTGATTGACATCTCTTGTCTTTTTTGCTTTTTATTTCATTGTTTTCTCTCAGGAACGAGTGCTATGTAAAATTCTGAAGTAAAAGCAAAATCACAGATCTTAAAAACTTCTCAAAAGTACAAAAACTCACATTTAAATGAATAATTACTTTCTAATCCTTGAAGTTTAGGTGTTCAGGCAAGAGTTCAGTTTGGGTTCTTCTGCTTTCCTTAAAATCCAAAATATGTTCGTGGTATGGTGGCCCTGAATGTCAATGCCAGAAGCATTTCATATAACCCCTAAAGATTTTACGTGGAAATTTTCACATATCCATGTAACGATCACTGATGCTGAGTTGGACAGGCGCTGAAACAGTCATTCATTGAGGAAGAAGTCTCCCGCTTGTTTCCTCTCAGAAATGGATTTCCAACATGGTTTCCGTCATATAAATGGAAGTATCCTGGTTCCTGAGGTACAACTCGATACGGACATTTTCAGTTTTCTGGGGCCCGTGTCTCGCCGACCCAGACCAGGCTGATGGATTAAAACTGACTTTGTCAATCTTTCACATTCTGCCAGAGACTCGATGTACAGCACCCTTGAGGGTTCTGCACGAGCGACAACCTCCAGTCTTGAGAGATGAAGTCGATGAGGGAACGCCAGAAACTGTCGTGTCCACTTGAGGCTGGCTGGAGAAACCCTGGAAGCTGCATACTCGCTCTTTATGGCAAAATAAACAGCTGACTTGACTGACAGGTAGGTAAACTGTAGGTGTTAGTTAGGGGAGCTGAAGGTCTGCCTCAACTCCACCTCTGCCTTTTGCTTGGTTGACCAAAGTCATGCTCGGTCAGCATTTCCTAACTTTGCCTAATTTCTTTAGCAAAGAGACTTGAGACAACTCACCTACTCTCTTCCAGCAGCTGCTTGTTTGTAGCAAGACCTTGGGCTGGTCCATTACAGACTACAGCGGGGTTACGCAGCTCAAGGAAGAACATTTATGATCATTACTTTATCATTTCCTTGAAGTAATAATCATCATATTAATCATTTTGCTCTGCAGACGCGGCAGTTCTTCTGCCTTAGCGTCTCGGTCTGATTGCATTTCCATGAAGAAAGGTGTTACGGTGTGTTTGACTGTAAATTAACTTTACGCCGGAATATCCCTTTAACTGTCATTGTAAAAGACGTTGTTTGGCAGACAAAAAATAAAGCAAGAGTGAGAAAATATGTGTTAAACTTTGGCTATTTACAGCTAAACATAATTACTGTGTTAGGAGTGAAAACGATGTGTGAGTATTAAGCAGTGGTAACGGTCATGCAGTGAGACAATAAATCAACTTTTATCCAGCGTGTATCATTAAGTGAGTGAATAAATTATCAGTACTGAATACATTGACAGTTTTACAGTTTTTATTAGTAACTGATTGAATTATAAATAAAGTCATTTCACAGTGAATCTCAATGAGGGAATGAACTTACAAAAGGTGAACGTGTACACTGAGGCGAAATCCATGTTTTAAAAAGAGCTGCAGGTAAAAATCGTGGGAGATGATTGTCTCCCACTCTGTTTGGACACACATGCTTAAATAATCAAGTGGACAGTCTTCTATTGCATCATGCTTTCAATGTTTTTGTAATATTAGATTCTCTCTACGACCATGTTGCTGTTAATTTCACACATTTAGATCAAATTAAACCAATAAATGATTCAAACCTCATTTGTTGGCCAAACTCCACAACTTAACAAAACCTTCTCGACATTATCAGCGTCTCTTTCTGGTTATCAGACGTACATATGTGACAAAGTCAACCTCACCGTTTGTGTTCTCCGGCCCAAACTCACGTGGCTCACACCCACCCTCGGTGCTCAGGGTTTGGCAGGAACGAGGGCTCTGGGGGCGATGACTAGAACATTCCCCAGCTGTCTCAGAGACAATGTCATTGTTTTGGCTGGCAGAGGTGTGGATGAATGGCGACAGCAGGATGGATGGAAATAAACAATTTCCACAGTCGTATTATGCTGCCTTGGAATAACGCCTCATATGGCACAATGTAATTTATTCAAAGCACACGTGGTCAGGAAATATTTCCTCGCTCTTGTCTTCAACTTTTTTGGCGTCAGGTTGAAACTTTTTTTCGCACCACTTTTGTTCTCACTTCATATTTATATTACAAGATTACCAACTTAAGATCCAATTAAAAGCACCAAGCAGGCAGCAGTGATTTGCATGAATACAAATGTGTTTCCCAGGAGTCCAGAGGAAAATATGAGATGATTGAATGAAAACCACCCTCTATAATTTGATGAAAGTTAATTTTAAATCAAATTCAATGCCCCAGAGGATGGCAAATGTATAAAGTACAGCTGTTCTGCACATTTCCTCTGCAAGATTGTCCTTTCCTCAGACGTTGTGACACACTCAGACCGCAGTTCATCACTGTTTCATGCTGCCAACGTCACAGCATAAACGCTCTTCTCGCTCTGGAGCTGCACATAGTCAGAATTAAATTAGGTCTTAAAATCCAGACATGGTGCTTGACATAGAGAGGATTTATTCAGTATAATAAGGCAACTGGATAACAGTGTGCAGCCGGGCTGCTGTCAGCAAGAGACCCTTGATGTTTAATATTTGGTTGAGCATGACTACGTTTGACAAAGCTGGCACTTTCTTAGACTGTGGGCAGGCAGTTGACTATAGGATGGTGTTTATCTCCTTGGAATGGATTTACAATCATTAGTCATGAACTTGTACACTTCTGTCTTGTTGCTCTCTCTCCTCCTGTGCTCATTACAAAGGCGAGAGGTGTTCTGGGTACGCTGCATTATCAGAAAGGGCAGGAAATCGTAATCCCGCGCTGCTGTAACATTTTGTTTCATGAGCCTCGTATGCGGGCTGACATGCAAGGTGGATCTGTATGCATGAGTGTGCCGCAAACCCGAGGAAGACAAGCTTTTGTTGCAGTCTGGAGCTTGTAAACGCTTCCGAAAAAACCTCCTCAGGTTCATTTGCATGACATTCATACACAAGTGCTATTAATTCAGATACACAAATGGACAAAATCAGCTATTTCAACCCCCTTTTGATGCAAAAAAGGACCAAAACAAATCAAAAGGTTATTCATCAGCTGTTCCAGCCCTCAGCATTTTGTCCACGTCCATTCCTATGCAGATCATGATGTTTCCCTTTGTCCTCTTTTTAATATAATTTCCCTCTAGGGATCAAATGTGCAATGATTTGATTTGTTAGTTAATATTCACCAGCAGTAGCTCCAGTTAATTTCAGGGATCTGTGTGTGTGTGTGTGTGTGTTTTGTGTTCTTCTTATTTGTAGGGATCAGATAACTTCTATAATACATGCTCTTACATCTCACCATCTACCTTCATAAAACATACGTCATTCATGTGCCGATTATCTCACTCCTTATTTCTGATCTCATAAAATGCTTCTGGCAGTCATGATGGAGAATTAGCTTTTGCCGGGGCAGGAGGAACAGATTAGTTTGGGTCTTCAGTGGATTCCTGTCAAATTAGCAGCTCCGCCATCACAAACTTTATCCTCGCCGCTCTGGAGTTTTTTTTTTCTTTTTTTTTTTCCAATGTAATGAAAAGTTTGAGCAGATCTGACGCAAAGCCTGATGGAAGTTAAATCTTGAGTTAAGCTGGTGTGCGATCGCTTCAAGGCTCAGGATTGTTGCTTTGATTTTCAGGGGGACGTTACATAAAATTATGTCTGGTAGAGTAATTCTCAGAAACAAAAGTTTAAGCCTATCAAAGTCTGGAAGTTTAGCTTTTTGAATTTTTAGTGTGCTTTAAAGATCTGAGGTTAGATCAATGTACGACGGAAAGAAGGAGGTGGTTAAAGTACACAAATCTACACAAGAACAGGTATTAAAACACCGATAAAAGTAGAGATAAAAGTTAAAGTGAGAAAGTCTAGTCGCTGAAATCACTCAACTTAGAAGTAAAGCAGCCACAAACCGATAATGGTCATGCGCTTCACCTTTTTCTTTTAAAGATCTATTTAAAGTATTTGACACCATCAATCATGATGTTCTGATTGCTAAAGTGCAACACCATTGTTTACATGGAGACACACTGAAATGGTAATCTATGACTGAGCCTCTAGTACTGTTAAAGTGTCATGTGGTGTACCACAAGGATCTGTATTAGGACCTTTATTATTTCCTACTAATATCAGTCCCTTTTATTAGCTGGTAAATGCTCTTACTCTTTTTTATTAGCTAAAAATAACAACAGGGTTTTACCACACAGTGACTTACACACTCAAATAAACAGTACAAATGGTTAAGTGGTGAGAGTTACTGGATGCTTTAAACTTCATTGACTCTAATTGAAAATTAAAAAGTTAAATTTTATACTGTTTGTCAGAAGAGGCAGGAAAAACAGATAGAATATGTTAAAGTGTCAACAGAGGGAAAAGAAATATTCAAATTTCAAATTTTTAATTTTTAGCCATAGGGAGTCCCTAACCCCCTAATCCACTGCAATAAAAATAGGAATATTTATTATAGACGGCAGGTGAATGAGAAGTCAAGTAAAGCTTTATTTACAGTATCTTGCACAAAAGTAAAAGTAAAAAGTAAAAATACAACAAGAAAACAACAATAAGCAACACAACATAATCATAAAAACAGTCTAATCTGTTAGTGTAATAAAATTTT